ACTGATTCAAATACAATGCTTTATTGCTTTTAAAATATCAACGAATCATAATAATATATATTAATATGTTTACAGCAACGATTTACAGCATTTTCCATAGATCAGATTTTGACCTTTACGTGGGAAAAAGAAGAAATCGATAATGAGAGAAAAATGAAGGAAATTTTAAAATACGAACAAAATCCAAATAAAACTTAATGCTCCTGCTATATTGTTGATTTAATGATAGTTTACCTGCAAATATTCAAGAGTTACTTTACAACACTTTACATGACACTAAATGACTATTTTCTTGAGAAAACCGCTGAATGCGCGTACTGCATTTTTGTGATTTAGCGATAATTTTCGACAAGCGTGAAACTAAACTAACCGAACGAGATCTTATGAAAACTAGAGCACTATTGCTACAAAATTATCCTAGATCTATCTCTGCAGTAAAGTTTTTTAAAGAGTAGACGATATTTATAGTTCACTATTTAGTCCCGTTATTTCATCGATTCTGTATCGTTTGTGTGTGTCTGAAGACATGAAAATTGATGTGTGTAGCGACTTGTAAAGTGTATTTATTAGCTAACATTAAATTTGGCTCAAAGTCTACATTATCAAGTGACGAAAGTAAAAAAGCGATAACGAAGGAAATCCACGAAGTGAGAGCTTTTAAAAGAGAAGGGAAGTTTATTCAAATTAGGAAAAATACATAATGATGGAAATTCTGTGTGGAAACCGTAACCATTTTTCTGGCTGATTCTGCTCTAGTTTATTAATTTTGCATCTTTATTATATATTGTATTTCTTGTTACAATAGTTTGAGTCGATCAGTACGTCGTGCTTTAATTTATAAGACTAAACTTACATTGACCTTTTCAACAGAATTCATTCAATGTAAATAGTGCAGCTAGTGCTTACGTTTTATTGATAACGTTGACAATCTTCAGTTTGTCGAATGACCATTGCAATGTTAAGCCCGCCGCACACTGGTGAACTTACCACGCGTACTTGTTATTCGTGACAGATGAGTCAAATATCAAACGCGTTTACATTCTACATTGATGAATATAATAAAGATACTTCTAGCATCACACCTAAATCACACATCACAACTAAAAATAAAATATTTCACTTCACACTAATTCAAAATGACAATACACATTTAATGTATACACAATACAATGACGTAAGAGCCAGATAACAAATACGGTTAACCTGACGTTTACTCGTTTACTCCTCATTTGACTCTGAAGATGACTATCGCTAAGGTTGTCTAAACGTCAGTCAACAACAACAAAAACAGTCCTTCTCAGGACTTTATTAACCTGGACGTTCATCATTTACAAACATGTAACGATACTCCCGGGTTCAAACCATTTACTGTATCAATAAATAGCTGACTATATGAATGAGGAAAAAACTCTTCTTTATGAAAGTCATGTTATATAAAATTAAAATTATTGCACATAATGATATGCATAACTGAAATTCTGTGACGTGTCATAATTTTGACTCAACACGTTAATTTTGTAACTTTGCTGTATCAATATAATTTGAATTAAACGATAGAGCAAATTGGTATTGATGTGAGAAAGGTCGTATTTCCCTCGTTTAATGTATCCAAAATATATTTGTGTTTTAAATTTTCACCAAAATGAAGAAATTTTATCAATATGAAACATACAAGGCATTAATTTATAAGTTATATTTAGCTACAATATTTGTGACATCAAAACAAAACAATTGATACATGGACACAAAACATTAAATCAGAAGGTTAAAATACACTGTTACTTAAATGCGAGTAATTTTTAAAATCAACATACCTTCACCAATTTAGAAAGATTAATAACAACGGAACCAACTATAATATGATGTGTTTGCTTTTGCTTGATAATAAATAAATTGGAATGTTAAATAAATCTTGAATTTAATCACCTGCTGTTTTTATTGTAAAATATTGAATTTGTTCACAACCAATAGAATATGAAATGCAAGTTTCTTATTTGAGCTATGACTGAAGTAAACACAAAGAAGTTTTGACTTGGAAGCTTTATGCCAATAAACCTTTCACAATTTACTATTATTTAGTTCAATTATTAAACATCCTGGCTTACATACAAACTAACTGAAATAATCTTAAAGGAAGACGGAGCAGCCAGCCTTTTACAAGTAAGATAGCTCAAAAATTAAAGATTTATAATTTAGGAAGTTAAGAAAATCAATAAACAAAGCTTCTTTAAAATTGTCAGCGTTCCAACTTTGAAACGTGGTCAATGAAGTTTTGTCATTTTGTAAACTTTTGATCCGGATAAACAAATAATCTGATCAGGGGCGTGAGAAGCAAGTAAAAGTTGTGGGGCTCAAGATTTTAGGGGCTGTCTTTATTTAAAATTGGAATATCAGAGTAATTGATCTCAAAGTCTCTAATTTCGAATAATTTTGTCACATCTCAGTAATCAGAGATACTTCAAAGTTAAAAGCGTTTGGACTTGACAGTTCATCATGCAAAGTTTTGCCATTTTGTGAACTTTTGACGAAAACAAATATTTTAAATAGTCTATCTTACAACAAGTTGAACAATTATAGACTAAAAAAAAATCACGTGTACTATCACGTGAACAAATGAGCTTTTCACCCCAAGTAGGCGCAATTTCTAAAGACATACCTAGTAAAACGTTTTTATGTCATCATCTGTGTTAGGAATAAGATAAAAAGTTAGATGAATATATGAATGAGGAAAAAATTCTTCTTTATAAAAGCCATGTTAGATAAAATTAAAATTATTACACATAATGTATGCATAACTGAAATTCTGTAACGTGTCATAATTCTTATTCATCTTGTTGATTTTCTAGCCCTGCCGTACCAATGATATTTGAAAAGACTAATGAAATTAATTGTTGGTGACAACGCAAGAAAGGTAGGAATTTTGAAATGAAAAATTATCCAATGTGTTATTTGGAAAATCCCACCAAAATCAACAGACGTATCAATATAAAACATATGAAGTGTGAATTCCATCACTAAAATTACATTCATGTTTTTTGTGACAAATATAACAAAATTCTAGTCATAAGAACAAACAATAACACTATGATGGGTGAACTTTATAGTCAACATACCTTCACAAATTCAGAAAGATTAATAACGACGGAACAAACTGATTGATATGTTTGCTATTGCTTGATAATAAAGAAATTGGAATGTTAAATAAATCCTTAAATTTAATCACCTGCTGTTTTTATTGTAAAATATTGAATTCTGTTCACACCCAATAGAATATGAAATGCAAGTTTCTTATTTTAGCTATGACTGAAGTAAACACAAAAAAGTTTTGACTTGGAAGCATTATGCCAACAAACCTTTCACAATTTACTATTATTTATTTCTAACTGAAATAATCTTAAAGGAAGACGGAGCAGCCAGCCTTTTACAAGTAAGATAGCTCAAAAATTAAAGATTTATAATTTAGGAAGTTAAGAAAATCAATAAACAGAGCTTCTTTAAAATTGTCAGCGTTCCAACTTTGAAACGTGGTCAATGATGTTTTGTCATTTTGTAAACTTTTTACAAGATAAACAAATAATCTGATCAGGGGCGTGAGAAGCAAGTAAAAGTTGTGGGGCTCAAGGTTTTAGGGGCAGTCTTTATTTTAAATGGGAATATCAGAGTAATTGATCTCGAAGACTCTAATTTAGAATAATTTTGTCACATCTCAGTAATCAGAGATACTTCAAAATTGATAGCGTTTGGACTTGACAGTTCACCATGCAAAGTTTTGTCATTTTGTGAACTTTTGAGGCAAACAAATATTTTAAATAGTCTATCTTACAACAAGTTGAACAGTAATAGACCAAATAAATCATGTGTACTATCACGTGAAACAAATGAGCTTTTTACTCCAAGTAGGCGCAATTTCTAAAGACATACCTAGTAAAACGTTTTTATGTGATCATCTGTGTTATGAATAAGATAAATAGATAGATAACTACATGAATGAGGAAAAAATTTCTTCTTGATAAAAGCTATGTTAGATAAAATTAAAATTATTGCACATAATGTATTCATAACTGAAATTCTGTGACGTACAGAGGTAATGCCTTTACAGAATGGAAGAATTAGTGTAACAATTATGAAAGGGGGTAGGGGCGATATCTTATTGATTGCTTATGTAACTACTAATCCTAACTCCTTTAATCCACAACTTGTACGTTTACTAAAGCTTCTAGTTTTAATAAAATCTAGAAGCAGAAAATATTATTTTCTGTGGCTACTACAAGCATACTTTGAGACAATGAAATTATTCTTACTAAATGACACATTGCAATTGCTTATTGCCTATGAACCAAGAAAGGCTGCAAAGTCCTATGTTTATGCGTTGTGTCAATCTAACACTATTTGAAAGGGAACATATTTATACATTCTGCTTTACCACACTGATTGCTTTTGAAAGTACTATTTAGTGTCAAAGAAATATGTTGGCATAATAAAATCAATGAATCTTAGTTCTTTCTAAAGGACATACGTATTTTAATGCGTGGTATTTGAAATATTAAATTTACTTCAGTAATGCTGATTTTTAGTGTTTAATTACTGTGAAAATCGTCCTTATTAAACTCTGAAAGTTTTTTTTAAAGGAAAAAACGCACGGCAGGCGAAATTTTCTCACCCAAAAATTTTGAATTGAAATCCAAGCATTTTAGCAGAAATTATGTCTAAGTATTCATAAGAGTAATGCAAAATGACAACTTGAAAATTTGGGATTCGATACTGAAGGACTCTAGATTTAGAAGTTTTACCAGGGGGTTTATGTCCCTAACACCCCGAGAAAGACTTGTGTCTTCGGCATTCGAAAGTATGTCCTCCCCACCAATATTCATGTCTGGCTACGTCACTGCTGTTATGAACAGAATTAAATATTTTACAAAAAAAACAGCAGGTAATTAGTATTAAAAATTTAGTGAACATTCCAATTTCTTTATTATCAAACAGAACTAAAGACATCATGTAGTTGGTTGATTCTTCTTTAATCTCTCTAAATTTGTGAAGGTAAGTTGATTTTAAAGTTTACCTGTCGTTGTAATATTGTATTTTACATTTATCATTTAATGTTTTATGTCCATTTATCAATTACTTTGCTTATTTTATGTCCTGAATATTGTCACTTGTCTTAAAAAACTCATAAGTCATTTCTGTACCATGCATATGTACAGTATTTAATTCTTTTTCTGACATGTCTCTTGTCAAGAAATAGAACAATTTTGTTTTCTTATTCATTTGCTACATCCTAAACCGAGTGTTAGACATGTCTAGCCAATCAGCCGAACCTCAAAATTTTGAGTCTAACATTTATATACACTATGGGAACAACCAAAGCTCAATGATTTTTGATTAATCAAGAGTACAAAATGTATGATGTCAAGTCTGGGATAGTAGCTTTCACATAAAAAAAGTGGCATGTTAAGTCAGTCAGGTTACGCTCATGGCTGCGCTCAGCAGTCCCACCATTTTGATATCTTATAAGAACTAAAGAAAATAGATGTTTGTGTTAAAAGAAGAATAGACTTCATTTTGTGGAGAAAATTCCAGATGCATACCAAAATGTGTGTGAAGAAGATATTTGTATCATTATGACGTCACACATGACGTCATTTGTCTAAACTTTCCTATTAGTTATTTTTGCATTTTTGTTGTGCTTAAAGATATTTACCCGAATTAAAATAACATTTGGTAGTAAATATAGCCTTCTTCAATGTTTGAACATTAAATGGAAAAGAACAACATCATTTTCTTAAGAATTGTTTTGCCTATGTGAACTGTTATTTACATTCTTATAAATGTTATGGAACCCATATTATCGATATAAAGATAACCTAAGTGGCTCAGGATAGCTTTTCCAAAGATAAGCTCTACTGTATGAGAAGGAACGCTTTAAATAATCTGTTTTAGGTATTGGGATAAACAACTTAATATTCTTTTAAATAACAATTAATATTCTTCGGTACAAGATATTTTGCATGCACACGAAAGCAATTCTAAATTTCTTTTGGCACAGGCCTTTATCCCAAACACACAATTTCAAACGTGCTTTTATAAAATTCATTGATAACTTTCCACCCTTGTACACGTGAAATTGTTTTTCAGACAGTGTTGGGGCGAGTCTTTTCCAGATGACTGTTCGACAGTTGGTGCGCATCAGTTAAGGACTTTGTTCTTAACAAAAGACCTTCTGTTCTTAACAAAAGAGCTTCTGTTCACCTTTTTGTGCCTTAGACAAATAAGGCTCTTATCCTAACATAATGACATTCAGGGGCTTTTTGCCGTTTATATGTAGGTAAATTAAGACCAATTTAAATTCTCATGAAGAACGTCATCTATCTTTAGACAATGGCGGAATTAGGAGGTAGAATTTCAGATAGTATTTTCAATGATATTTGAAAAGTTTACTCGTTAAAAAATGCAAAAAGCTCAGAATGTCGATATGCTACGGTAAGGGCTTTACTGTGCTAAGAAAGGAAAAGTTATGCACCAGAAAAAATTTTAGGGGCCAAGGCTTGTGCCAAAAGAAATTTAGAACTGCTTTTGTATACGTGAAAAAGGTCTTGTTGAGTAGAAAATTGTCGTTGACTGAAAGCAGGATTTAAATGAACTGACATGTGCTCTTCCAGTGCAATAACATGACCACAGATGATGAACCTGATAATAATCAACTTCTGCGCACACATTCTTGTATGCATTTTCTGCTTGTTTTTATAAAAAGTAATCTTATTCTTCCATTAAGAGAAATATGCTTTTCTTTAGTGCTTACAGAAAATCAAATTGGCGACCATGTTGAGCGTAACCTGATTTACCAGTTTAAATATGAAATCTTCCATTCCAGACTTGCCATCACACTTTTTAGTCACTTCGAAATTTCAAATTCTGGTATACGAAAACATAGGATGTTGACAGTATAATGGTTGCTGTAGAAACGATTTATCTGCTTCTGAAGGGCAGGGTTAACATATTAAATAAATATATTTTCGCTTCACTTTGGCCAAATTGACTTGACACCTTCCCCAACCCACAAGGAAATTTTTAATTAGGAAATTTTTCAATTCATCCTAAAGAAAGCAGCAAATTTTACGTTTTATGGCATTCATTTGTACTTTTCCTATCACTCCGTTGCGACAGTCGACTTCTGTAAATTCTCAGTAAAGAACAAGAAAGTGAGGGTTATAAGGGAAGCTTTCTTTTTTTTTCTTGTTCTCGCTGTTTTGTACGGGTTGGCTTTCACTACTCTAGTTTTCATCAGTGAGAAATAAATCGTTTGAAATTATGTTGTCTGAATAATTCAACTCACTTTTCGAGTGTTCTTCCTTCGACTTATATATTTTGTTGCGTTTTTTTTTTGCGTTTTTTTCTCTTTGGTTGACGAATTTTGTTTACATTTAATTGTAAAATTACTCGCATTAAACCGCCGGTCCATTACGGGAAAATAATGGACCGGCAAAAACGTTGCTGAGCCAATCAAAGCGCGCCATTTTGCCGGAAATGATGCTTGCCATATGATACACTATTTTATTTAAAGGGGGATAAAACTGAACAAAATGTCCGACTGCCCCACAAATACCTAATTGCAGGACGACTACTGTTGTTTTTTATTAGAGGCCTCCTCCCAAGTTTCTTTCAACACTTCACAGTCACAAACTTTTTTTAGACTGGAAATTGTGGTATTGAACATATTTTCCCAGATCACATTTCCAGAAAATAATATAAAATAATATCTTAACTTGTAACTTACTTAACATTTCATTTTTCTCACTTACTATTGGCTGGGCTCATTGCTTGTCACAAATTATTTGACTCTGAGTATAACTATCAAATTTCCAACAAGTCTTTGACAGTTTTCTAATGCCATACTCGTTACAACCACTTTCGTGTATGTGGAACTTAAATTTACCTAATCAAACTTCATTCAACTATTTTCTTTGTCCATGAATTAGAATTGAAAAACAAATAATGTTTATGTAAATCTTCTTCTACTTCCCGTAGATGGAGTCAAGAGAAGAAAGGAATAACTACTATATGCAAAAAATACTTACAGATGTTGTTGAAAAGAAACTTGTTGATTTATTTATCAATGAGTGGAACAATCATTACAAAAATCTCATGGAATATGGGATAATACAAACGTCAGTTGTCAGAAGTTATTCGATATTGAAAGAACAAAAAAGAAACCTTAAGACAAACATATTTTGCCAAAGTTTCAAGATGGTGACACCAGTAAGTGGGATTGTACAACACTATTTGCAGCAATACTGTTTTCCAACTCAAATGGAACAAAAGTTAACTCAAAAGTTAGATCTGCAGTTGATGCATTTCGTATTGTTAGAAAAAAATTTATTCATGATAATCCTGGAAGAGTATCTGATACCGAATTTGACAAAATGCTTTGTGATATTGAAAAGTCATTTAAAGATCTAGGATTTTCATTCAATGAAATTAAAGAAATTAAATGTCAGCGAGACAGATTTAATTCATTTCAAGTACTTCCTTGCAAAGCAAATCACGATGTGGTTAAACGTAAAGACTTACTTAATCAAATCACAGCAAATCTCAATAACTTACGCAGTGCTAACTATAATGAACTGACATATTACTGTATTTCTGGTAATCATGGCAGTGGTAAATCTCAAACAGCTAGACAATTTTGTGAAGAAATGTATAACTCGTTTGACTAGGAAAAGAATACGACATTTGCGATGACACTCGAAGGAAAAGATATCGACTCTCTTTCGAAAACATATGCAGAACTTTGTAAACGATTAAACAATAAAAAACTGTCATTGAAAATATTTTAAAAGAAGCAAAAAGGAGCGAAGGCAAAATCAAAGATTTTCAATTATTGCTGACACAAGAACTGAAATCATGGCAAATATGGTGGATTGTTGTAGATAACGTGGTTGAACTTCATAAAATTTATCCATTATTACCTCAAGTTGGTGATCATAGCTGGAAAAATGGTCAAATTATAGTAACAGTCCAAAATACAGATGCTATACCACCAGATGGAAATCTAAAGAAACACATTTCAGTTAGTCATGGTATGAACAATGAAGAATGTCGACAAATTCTATCTGTCTTTTCTGATATTTCAAATCATAATGAAAAATATATAAAGGATTTATCAGACAAATTAAATCGTCAACCTTTGGTATTGGCAAATGCTGCTTCCTACGTAGGTATTGTAAAAAGTGTAAATCCGATATTCACGTGGGAGCAATAGTTTGATAAGTTGAATGAAGGCGAGCGACAGAACAAGGATGGCAATTTTCAAAAAATAAACACAGCTTACTTTGGAATGAAAACTGTTATGTTATAAGTACAAAAAAATGCTGAAGAATCCATCTTGTTTAAACATGTTTTTAAGCTTTTCTCAATAATATCTTTCGATCCCTTACCACAAGATGTTATAATACCATTTATTAAAAGCATTGATCCACAAAAATCTGCAGAAGATGTCTGTCTTGAATTAAAGCATTGTTCTTTATTCCTTCAAACGGAAAACAACGACATCTGCCTGCACAGCGTTGGACACGAAGCCATTGTAAATTATTCGTGGCAGACCTTTGGTTGTAAACAAAACGAAAACAGTTCTAAAAAGTATGCAGCTGATCTTTAGTGCCCAAGGAACTGCTTGGGCACTAAATCGTTTTGAAGACAGAGAAGATGAAATCAAAATAATTCCACATCTAATTAAATTCATAACAAATTCATCATTTCAACATTTCCTAAATAAGTTGATCGATGTAAAATCATCAAAACAAAAACTTGATGAAAGAAATTGGAAATTTGCCAAATACTTTGTAGATGTTTTGGTAAGATTTTGCAACTATAAACTTGCAACTAAAGTACTTCATGACATAACAGAAATTCAAATTAAAGTGTTAGGTGTTGATCATATTAATGTTTCATATTCGCACAACGAGCTGGGTGAGTTGCTTTGGAAGTTTGGAGAGTACGAAAAAGCAAAAGATTTTTATGAACGAGAGATAGAAATTAAAACAAAAGCATTCCGACCTGACCATGTTAATATTGCGACAATGTACAACAATCTAGGTTTGGTTTAAAGAGATATTGGAGAGTACGAAAAAGAAAAAGATTTTTGTGAGCAAGCGATGAAATTTTCAACCATTGTACTTGGTGCTGATGAGGAAAGTAAGTGTAACATAAATAAAACGAGTGATAACGATAAATTCTGATGATTTTGTGCTATTTTCCACTGAACTTTGAAAATATGTTTTGTTGTTTTTTAAATAAATGAAAACAAATGACTTTTTAAAAAATGAAAATGGGAAACTACAGTAAAACAAAGATATAGCAGTTGTCGAAAACTTAAATATTGCGCAGAACAGCTTATTCGTCATTTTGTATTAGCTAAGTGTTTCTGAACTTGTTGAAAACTGTTAAGCGGTTGATTTTAAAAATATGAAAGATATTGGATTGAACCTCATAGTTTGTGTTATCAAAGCACGTGATCAATTTTTTTATAGTTAGCTACATTTTGCTTACAAATAAGCTCTAGTTGCATTTATTGTATCAGTACAATCGAATTGTTCTGTTACTTCACCAGTATAAAGCAAACGCGGAGTTTTTTTGATGCTTGCCTGTGATTTCTAATCATTAAATTATTTTAATATTTTCATTAATAAAAGCTCTTGGTAACAGGGGTTAAATGTTAAACTCTTTACGCCAAATCGGACGGGGGTAAGTATTCGTATATTCAACTATTTTTTTTCATTTAAGTGCGATTGCTCTTTCAATGAAGCCTGTCTATCATCATTTTTTATATAACAAAATGTATGTACATCCCACTAAATCGAATCTTTTTTCCTGACTGTTTGACTGAAATCGAGCAGTAAAAGCGAATGCGGTTCGGATACTTAAAACTCTGATATAGCATATGAAAATTTACTTTCGAAGTTCGTCGTTGAGGATACAATAGTGGCTAAATCACTTGTTAATTTAGCAACTATCCAACTGTCGTTTGTCGTCTCGTACTTATTGATTTTGAACGCTGCGTTTGCGGTTAATGCAGAATCAGCGAAATGCATTGAACATAGTACGGCTTGAGTACTGCTGAGAAACAATTTTAGTCTCATGGGGAAACGATGTACTAAGACACCCTCTCTGTGTTTACTGTTTGTACAACTTTTTCCGTTTGGTCAACCAGCAACACAATATCCTTATCGACGCTTTTTTTGCCGAATTTTGCGTACTCGCCATATTTTTACTTCCAGTGTATCGCTACGTTAGTAGCTTGGTAAAAAATTCTCCTTATTTTATGTGCATTTTGATATTGCATGGGTTACAAAACAACAGACTACGTAAAGGAAGGCACCCATTTCTCGAAATTTATAAGTCTTATTGAGAAGTTTATAAAACTATAGTAGACTGGAACTAAGCGAATTACAGTTAGTTGCTGACAACATGCATTGCGTGTGTATTAAACCACAGACTGCGCAAGGATGCGGCACCCAGTTCATTGAGAATTATAAGTTTATTTTAGAAGTTTATAAATTTTAACGGATTGTATATATTGTTTATTTATTTGTATTACTCTTTTTCACCAACTATACTTGATTTTTGCAAAGAAAACTCATAAAAAAGTGTAAATCTCATTTTGGATATGTTCTGGTTCCTATATATTTTTATTAACTTAATAGCTTTAAAATTGTACTTCCGTATTTTAAATGACGTCACGCGCTGAAATTGAAGTTCGCATCAAAACAAGAAATTAGGCCACATTCGAACGCAAATTTCGATGCTTTCCCGTCCACCAAATTCAGTGTGCAATAGCTCAAAATGATGAGTACAATGCAGAGAAAATGTTAGTGTCAAAAAATGAAATATGAAAATTTCACTCAGTAACACTTTAAAGAACAACATGTAAATACATCATTATTAAGAAAAAGAAAACCCAGAGGTTAGCCCTATATCAAGGGTCTCCTATTTATGTAAAAAATCTTACAGAACCAGTTAATAAAAAATAAAGAATAATAAATAAAAAAATAAATAGTAAATAATAAATAAATAAAAAAATGTCAAATAAGAAACAGCTAAATATCAATTATTAACTGACGATTCAATAAATATTCATGCGTTTCTTCAATTTTGATTTAAACTCTCGAACGTTAGGGCTGTCACAAAAATTAAATAAATTAATAGGAAGATTATTCCAGGGTTTGATAATTCTGACAAAGAAAGAATTTTTGTAACAGTTCAGTCTTGCGAGTTTGAGTAGTTTATATGGGTGGTTAGATCTCGATTTAGTGTTTATACAAAGTTCAAAATATTCGCTGAAATTCAATCCATTTAGATTGAATACAGTTTTATAACATTCCACTAAGGAAAGGAAATCTCTCCTTTGTACTAAAGAGTTCCATTTAAGAATTTTACACCTCTCCGTTTTTAAAGGTGAAATATTAGCCCAAAGTTGTCGTTTTTATAGTTGTTATGGAAATGTTTTTTGTGTAACAACAAAGTCCGTTGAATGACATCTCATACACGTTAGAAATTTGAAAAATTGATTGCAAAAATTGACTTCGGTAAAGATGAAAATGAATTTATCATTGAAATTTGTAAGAGTCGCTGCATTTTCCTTGATGTGACCACAATTACGTTACCTCTCGCAATCTAAGGGAGGGCGTTCGGAAAATACAGAAAAGTTTGTAAAAGTTACTGGGTCATTTGGCAAAACAGTGATCACAAAGCAAATTTTTAAACCTTGAACAAGTTTGGTGTAATATATATCAGTTTAAAACATAGGGTGTTTAATCTAAGTTCATCAATTTATTTTTGTGGCCACATACTTGACGGGCTACACACATGTACGCATTGCGTACCTATTTTTAATGATTTATTTTTTTTTTTGTTACTCTACAGGTGTATCAAAAAAACCTGAAAAGATTGGAAAACGTCACTAAAGTAATCAGCAAGCACTATATGCAAAAACCTTTGATTAAATAGGTAGTTGCACTTCCAATGCCCTACCCGACAGCAAAATGTGCTTAAAACCATCATCAATTATTCATATTTGGATTAATTTACCCTAAAATTTACTCATAATTGATGAGGATTATAATGTAATAGCGGAAACGAAAAATTTAAAATAATCCGCTATTTGAAAGCTAAGTGTTCGCATACGCATCAGCCAAATTCCTAAAACTTTGTTACCTTGAGCAACATGTGCAAAATTTTCACCCTATGTGTTTCAATTGCTTTTTAAGCTGTGTCGTTTTTGTGCGCAAGCCATTTCATATTTACTTCTTAATAACACGATTTTCACCCTATGTGTTTCAATTGTTTTTTAAGCTGTGTCGTTTTTGTGCGCAAGCCATTTCATATTTACTTCTTAATAACACGATTTTCACCCTATGTGTTTCAATTGTTTTTTAAGCTGTGTCATTTTTGTGCACAAGCCATTTCATATGTACTTCTTAATAACACATCTTTCACTCTAATAATGGTTATTAGCTACTTGCAAAAATTTTACTGTCAGATTAACCGTTGAAAGTCCAACTAACTATTTTCTCTAAAGATTCTTGCAAATCTTGCGCACTGACTTTTATACACCCTGTGTATTGTTCTTTTTTTTAATTGAGATACATGTAAAAGTTACTCACAATTAAAATCAACCCACTGTTTCCACTTTCCCGTTTTGAAATTTTTGATGAACGTTTTGAATATGCGTCAAAACATTCAATGCTTAACGCAAACATTATCAATGTATCAAAATGTATTTTTCAAATCAACTTGAACCTTAATTCGTCAGCTTTAGGTAAAAGTGCTTTTGTGAAAAATCATGTATGCATGTTTGACATCTCTAGTTTATTGATTAGGTACTCATCGTAAACTTTTTACCAACTAATAATCATTACAATTGTTGTTATAGACATGGGATTTTTCATAAAAGCAACGAAAGATTTAGATCTCGTAGTTGATACCGTGAAGAAGCATTATGTACCTCCCATTGATGCGGTAAAGAATAATGATGATTTCTTTATCAAAAATTTTCTTGACGAACATAACGATATTCGAGATGAGATTCTTGCGAATTAAAGAGGTAAATCTCGATAAATCGTTTCTACACTTCCTCTAAATTTAATATTTCGTTAAGATAAGTGCGCACACTAAGCAGAAATTTACGTTTTATTGTTGATGACATCATCGGTTGTTATTGAAAACAAAAAATTTGCAAACTCGAAAAATTTTCACTACCACTTGATAGACAAGTAGGTTTATCTTGGTTTAATTTGCGTTGCTCAAACTTCGGTTAGTGTTAAAACAAGGATTAAATTTAACCCTACTCGCTAGGCGCATTAAATTTCTTAACCCTAGGTTAACATATTAATTTCGTAAGCAATCAACTATTGACGTGTTTTGCTTTAACGTTTTAGTCTACGTAGACTGAATAATAACGGTTTTTATTGAACTCATATTGTAAATTGACCTTTTTTGATTCGCTAGTCTACATATTGTATGTATATATAGTCTCTTAATCCTCGACAAAAAGCTTGTATGGTCACGTGGATTTTGGATGATATTTGATATGATAATATATTACATCAGTAGCTGTCCTTGTGATAACAGAAGATCTCGAGGCAACCATGTTATTACTAATATTACGTATTTTAACGTGAAATTAAGAATTGATTACTCTCTCTCCCCCTTCGATATTCACTATTTACAATTCGATTGCAAATAAATGATAGCTAACCCCCCCCCCCTAACCCCCAGAAAATCTTCCCCTGTAAATATATTGAATTTTTTGTGGCTTTGAACTCATAAATATGAATGAAAAAAGGTTTAAAAACTGAAAAACAGTCAAGGAAAAGAGAAACAGACACTTTTGTGACAATATGACCGGGGTTATCGTAAATATTTTTTTATCAATTTAATGAATTTAAAGGAAATTTGAGCAATTTTTGCAATTTTTCGTTAATCACAGTAGCTAAGTTTTACTATCTAAAACATTCATACGTATGATAACTGGCTTGCTAATTTCATATTGTACTTTATGACAAATTCCGAAATTCATATAATTAATTAGGGATGATGTCATAAAACTTTGTTTTTAAAGGCAAAAACGCGAAAAAATCAAGTTTTAAAGAACTTGCGATGGCCAGCGCTTGCCCCAACTTGCTTAAAAATTTGATAGCTTGTGCAAAACAGTCCATATTTGTACTCAAGGTGATTGAATTGTTCACCGATTAATTTTTCGTGCACAAAGCCTGTGATGAAGGACTTTAAACAACGGTATTTTCACTTGAATGTCGTATGAATGTTTTATGCAGTGCGGTGTTTGAAATCAAATGAAGATATGATCTTCGCACTTTGCTGGACAATTTAAGCAATCGTCTCAGGACCTGAAAAAATCAGGTGACTCAACGGGATTCGAACCCATGACCTCTGCGGTGCCGGTGCAGTGCTCTGACCAACTGAGCTATGAAGTCACACAGTGGTGAGCAGGTCAATATTGTTGGGCTCATGTTTTCTCGTATTTCACTGGTAAAACATTTTGCATTTTTCAAAAATTTCATTATTAGCTGTACAAAAGAAGTACCAAATTAAGCGATAAAGGTTCTCTGTTTATTATACAGAGTCTCTATAAGCGACTTGTTGAATTAAGTTTACTACTATAATATCAGTACCAAAATTGTCCAACGCTATAGTAACCTATGAACGACACTACTTTGATTTATTGTATTATGAATATGAAATTAATATTCATTTAACATGGTAGACTATGTATTAAGATTAATTGTTTTCAATATTTGTTTGACTTTTAAAATAATATTTTATAGTTTTTCTTGGATTTGTGGTGGATATGGGGTACGGTGGAAACCTCGTCCTTCTTTATTTGTGAATGTAGCAGCAGAAAGACAAAATGATGAAGATGCATTAAGAAAAGAAATTGATGAAACTTTTGGATGGAAAGCTTCTCATTACTTTGAATTTGTACCGGAACGACAAGAGAAATCGGAATTTCGTGTGTTTCTAGACATAGAAAACATAAAAAGGAAGAAAGATCCAAATTCCACAAGAGGAAATATTGAAGATGAATGTGAAACAAAGGCAAAAGGTACTGTCACAATGTTTTTGTAACAAAGATAAGAAACAATACGCTTTGACACGGCAAAACGGTGACGATCTGGTAACTATTTTTATATTTTGTAAGAACTCAAAGAGATAAAGCAATAGATAAAAATAGGTGCTTGTTGCTTTTAAAGCAATATACACATTAAAAAATGAAACATTTAACAAACCACTGACTTTATGACATTTAAGTAGTTGATGATAAAAAGATTTTTTGCACTCTTAATGACATTATAGAGCCTGACTGGAAAACAATTTGGGAAATAATTGAAGATAAGCAAAAGATTTGGAGAAGGAAGTGTTGAAACATTTCGGACGTCAGCTTAGACACAGATGCTCTAAAGAACGTTGTCACCACTAAATGCGAGCGTCCTTTTCTGAGTAAGGTAGATTCCAGAGTGTTAATGAAAAAGAGCATAGAATAGCCCATAGTTGCTACAGCTCTTGAGTATGATTTTTAGATAAGCAACAACTTATGTTGATGTTGTTGTCATAGTATAAAGTTGATTTGATGTTTAATAAGTACGTTCTCTTAACGATGTTATGATATGATTCGAAAGCAGGCTTGCCTTTTTGGCAGTCTTATATATCTACATTACTTCACTTGTTAGCTTATACATCGATATTCGTCAGCAACTTTCATCTGAGGTTTGCAAATTATATGCGTGTGCACTAAGCTCATAAAGACGGATAACAAAAGGTTTGTCCAGAAAGCAAGCAAAAGAAGCAGGGTGAAATGCCAGGCTCCTTTATATAAAATAACGATTTGAAACATAATGATATGCATGTGTTTTGGAAATAAAGCTTTAATCATAAATGTATATAAGACATTTTAAAGGTTGATTTAAATTGCAAGTCGTAAAGCGTCGTTGTGTCACAATGTACTTTGTGACTTGGTGGACAACACCATGCAACTCCATCTTTTGTTAAATTGTGTTGTACGTAAAGCATGTGTTGGTGTAAGTTTGTTCAGATTGTCAATTGAACAATCCGTACCATGGTTTGCCAGAACCAACAAATATGTTTACAAATTCAGTACTTTAATTATTTTAAGTTATATATTATGTTTTTTTAAGGTCTTCCTGATCACTATGCCAATTTTAAAGACGATTCCAACGGAAAAAATTCCATCGATGTTAACCCTGGTTATAGTACGTCAAAGAAGTACTGTCGTTTTAAATCGATGATGATCGTTTATTTGAAGAAATGTTTCTTGATAAAAGATTTGCCATTCGAAAAGATGTGCGTATGAAGCTCAAAAGGTGAACTTTTCTCTACAGTTATTTAGGTCTAAAAAGACTACAGTTGTTACATAAGGATGAATTCAATCATAGCCTCAATCAACGACTTGAAACTAAATCTTGTGTAGCAGTTTTTAATTTTTGTCCGGCAAAGTAGTTCATGGTTTATTACCGGTTTTCATAAGTAAGTGACAAGGAAGTTACCAATGCAAAGAAAATACAAGCATCTGTCACCACTCAACGACATAAATTGTGGAGCAGCATATATTCTACAGGCAATGAGAATAAAATGTGGAAACAAGGAGCACTGGTTTTAAAATTGATGGGGGATATTTAGTCTAAACGTCCCTCATCGTATGTTTAAGGGGATAATTTAACAGCAGTAGGAAACTCACTTACTGAAGTTCAAGCTGCTATGAATTTCGATCTGGAATGCCTAAGAAGGTGGTTGATTGCTAATAAACTAAGCCTAAATGTTGCAAAGACTGAATTTTTGTTGATTGGCTCTAAACCAGTTATTAAAAGTATAGCAAATCAGCAACCAAACATTGCGATAAAAAACAAAACAATAAAACAAGTTTGGGATTCTAAGTCTCTTGGTGTAACCCTCGATCAGCACTTGTCGTGGAAGAAAAATACTGACAATATTTGTACGAAGATTGCCTCAGGGATATCAGCTCTTCGTCGGGCTAAAGACTATGTCCATAAAGACACTCTTCTTTCCATTTACAACGCTCTTATGCATCCTTACTTTACTTACTGCTGTGAAGTTTGGGACGTGTTCGGCGAAACTCAATCCAAACGCTTACAAAAACATCAAAATCGAGCTGCTAGAATCATCGCAAACATGAGTAATGTTGTTGATCACGAAATTGCTTTGAGAGCTTTAGAGTGGGAGCCTCTTGATATTCAAAGGCAAAAAAGTAAAGGAACCTTATGTTTAAATTGCTTAACAACATGGGTCCAAAATCACTTACTACTTTATTTAGTTTCAAAAGCGAATCAACTGATTATCAACTTCGTGGTTTTAAAAAAACACTATGCTTACCTCAGCCACGAACCAATAGCATGAAAAAAAGCCTAGCACTTAATGGGCCACAAGTCTGGAACTCATTGCCAAATGAACTTAAAGAAATTAGTTCTCTAGCGACCTTTCAAAGGAAAATCACTTCCCACTTTCCCAAAACAAATATGTACTCAACTAATTGTTAATAGCTTTCTAACCTAGCTATACTTCATTTAATGTACATTTTAGTGTCTTGTGTATCGTAAAATGTAAGTAGTTCACTATTCTATTGTAATTTTCATTTTTGCACACGCCCCATGTGGAAATCAACTTGTATGTTGACAATGGTAAGCGTGTTAAAATAAAATTATCTATCTATCTATCTATCTAACTGAAGATCTCGACGCAGCCATGTTATTAATAATATTATGCATTTTACCATAAAATTAAGCACAAGTACGATCAACAAGAATTGATTACGTTCTCCCCCTCCCCTATGTCCACTATAACAATTCGATTACACATTCATGATTGCTATTTGCTAAACATTTCACTTTTTTATTTTACAGTTTACCTTGGATGCGGGGAGAGTATGGAAACGTCGGTCCAAACGAGAAGATACCATATTTCCATTTGATTATCACAGTTGATTATGATAATGGAGATTTTGAGGAAGATGTATTGAAAAATGAAATAAATAAGAATTTTGAACCTTATGCATTGAGGTATTTTGAATTTCGTCCGAAACCATCCACTAGACCGAAGCTTCACCTGCTATCGAAGATTGCAGTAGGAAGAAACAATCAGATAGTTTCAAAAGGCACATTAACAATTTGTTCTGTTGTCACAACGGGAAACATTACGCTATGACCAGGGGCGGATCTAGGATTTTCCAAACGTCAGTCCTAAACCGGCGAACGCCAGAGGCGTTTGCCCGTAAGGGGTCTGAGGGCATCCCCTCCCTGGAAAATGTTGAAGCCTAGGGTCCCAGAAATGCGATTTCCAGCGTTTTGGAATAGCTTTACAAGAAATTTTCAAAGTGAATGAAATCGCAATTTTTTCATTTTTTTCTTACAAAATATTGAGGACAAACACGCTAAGACCGTTTTTCCCAATGTCAGGGCTCTTCAGCATGCCTAGGAAACACATAGTGCAAAGCAACAATGTGATTCCGGAAATGGACAGTCTTTGCTTTAGCAGCAACGGCGCATTAAGCAGCCAGTTGCACTGTCTTGCATTTCTGCAGCAACGGGGCATTAAGCAGCCAGTTGCACTCTCTTACATTTCTGCAGCAACGGCGCATTGAGCAGCCAGTTGCACTGTCTTACATTTCTGCAGCAACGGCGCATTTAGCAGCCAGTTGCACTGTCTTACATTTCTGCAGCAACGGCGCATTAAGCAGCCAGTTGCACTGTCTTACATTTCTGCAGCAACGGCGCATTAAGCAGCCAGTTGCACTGTCTTACATTTTTGCAGCAACGGCGCATTAAGCAGCCAGTTGCAAAGTCAGTAATATTTCTACAGTAACCTAGCCATAACACATTAAGCAAATTTCAAACGTGTATTACCTTCAGCAAACATATTGATCAGTCTTTCTATGTCAGGAATAATTTCTGGGTGAATTCGCATTAAAGCCAGGCCATTTAAACGTTCCTCTACCATAGTTCTCCTTTGGTAGGTTTTTAGATTCCTCAGTGCTGAAATTGATCTCTCACATTCACATGAGGTGATTGGTAGTGTACCTAAAATGCGAAGAATAACTTTAATATTTGCAAATCCTGGAAATGTTACATGCTTCAGTGTTTTGACGATGTTTTCTGGCAAAGGCCCATTGTGCGTTTCCCAGTATAAACGCCATTGCCTTAATTCAGCTTCTAAACCAAGGGGGATGGGCAAGTCATCATGATAGAATTTTGCAACACTTTTAAACTGTTCTTTCCAATCAATTCCTTTGTCCGACAGAGTCATCATTTTGACGGGAACGATAGATAATCCTCGGTACACATTAACACTATCCAAGTTAAACCTAGTTCTCAAAGATATTTGAAGATGGTCTAATAAAGGAACAGTGATGGATAGTTTATAATGTTCTTTGAATGATTGACTGGGGGGATTACATCGCATAGTTTGTCTTCCAGCAATTCGCTTTTTTGTTTCTTGAGCGTTGACCTCTTCAGCAAGTTTTAAAGCCTCTTCATACCAAGTGTTATGATAAAAATTAATGCTTTTCCTCATGTTGGCTACATCATTCTTCAAAGTGGTTATCAAATGAAAACCATCCATAACATCAATAGTTTTTCCCTGCAACAATTGCGTGACTGGAAGAGTAGCATCAAGAATATTTTTTGTAATAACTAGCGCAACAATAAAATGAAATTGAGTAACTAATGAAAGTAACTGGGAAGCATCAGCAGCAAGGGAAGGCTTCACCTCGCCGCTTACATTGTTTATCATGTCCTGAAGAGTGTCGATTAAAGGGATAAACAACTGTTGAAACGTGTCAAGACTGTCAACTCGCTCAACCCATCTGGTTTTACAAAGACTTACCAGTTTTGCCTTCTTGGTCTGAACATCTGACTTTTTAACGTGCTCAGCAAAGGGCATGTTGCGTGTCTGTGATATGTTGATAAAATTGGCAGCTTGAGAAACAACAGATAACATGTTATTAATTTCAACGTTAGAAAGAGTGTCACAGACAGACAAATTTAGTCGATAACTGTAACAGTGAGTGTAAAGAGCTTTAGGATTAATTCTTAAAATTTGGGCTGCTAAACCATTTATATACCCAGAAACAGCCCTTGCACCATCATAACCTTGTCCCCTGCAATCCATAATGGGTAAGGCAAATTTCTCTCGAGTTTCTAAAATAAGCTTTGAAAGTTTTTGACCACTCAACCCCCATTTGTAATGCAGGAAACACATGAACTCTTCTTTAACATTCATTGAAAAGTCAACAAACCGTAGAACAAGGGACAATTGCTCTTTGTGAGAAGAATCAGCATCTTCATCTGCAATGATAGAGTAATATCTATTTTTTTTATCTCGTTTATAATATCTTCTGATATTACCTGACCAATACAGTTGATGATTTTGTTTTGGCTGGTCTTGGAAATATAACTTTTATTCTTGCCACATTTGAGCAAATGATTTTCCAAAGTTTGATCACAAGCTCTAACTCTAAAATTTAAAGATTCAACAAAATTACCAACATTTGCCATTGACTGAATAGCAACCGACCTCTGGGTGAAATTGAGCATCGTCACGATGACCTCGTAATCCAATGCCAAGCCTTCCACAAAAAAGAACTGTATCAACAATTTCTTTAAGAATTTTCCTATTTTGCTCAATTTCAAGTTTTATGTTAGTATCTAAGATATTTTCAATGGGTTGAGCTACACCTGACATTTGAGAGCATATATTATTCAAAATTGGAGAAGTAGATGCATGTAGTCCCATTTTTTCCCCTTACAATTTCCAGCATGTCGCCTAAATGTACCTACAGCATCATTCCAATGACGAAAAGGTGAACGAAATAGATTTTTTATTCTCGAGCATTTACTGGGAATTGATGTCCAAAAGAACACATGATAAGCAATAAGCACCATCTTCTTTTGGTGAATAACACAGCCAGGTAAAATCTTTGAGCCATTCATATTGAAAAGACCTTTTATTGTTCTCACTCAAAGGAGGAAAAGTGTAATTTTCATCAGGTTTAAAAACATTTTTAAGAAGCAAACAAATATCAGACATTTTCAAACCTTTAGCTCTTTTGTAGTAGGTAGCTACATCAAAATTGTGAATAAAGTTAGGCTTTACCTGTAAATCTTTAATGGTTTGTTCAGTAATCCTAGTACAAGAAACCTCACTTGTAATGATTTCTGGTTTTTCCATTTTTGAAAAAAACTTACTGATATTCCCAGACTTTTTCTCAGCTTTTGCTTTTTTTGAAAGCAGTGGGCATGTTGGACAAGAAATTGTCCTTTTAGTTTTGCTAGGAAAAAAAACTAGAGGAACAAAATGATTAGGTTGGAAACATTGATCTGGTTTAACTATCCCTTTATAACAAAACAAAAGATGAATTGCATCGGCTGATTCTTTAACTATTCTTCTTGGACAAACAAGAGAGTTGAATATTGATTTAGGCCGGCTCTCTCCACAATCTGGGTAGTAGGTAAAATTTTTGTCTCCAACACAGAAGAAAGAGCTAAAATGCATAGAAACGATGACCACTTTTGGTCATGACAATTCAAAAAGGCCTCCTTTTTGACAAGATCAACACCTACAAAACCAGAATCTAGACAGTCTTGAGATACTGTCAAAGGTAAAATATTCTTTGAGGTGTTGTTGAATTCTTTATGCTGTTCAACAATTGAGGAAAATAAAGGATGTTGGCAGTAAAAAGTAGCATTCAAAAACAGCTCAAGTGATGTTAACTGCCTCAAAATATGCAATAAACTGTTATCACCTGCCAAAAGCAATGACACTGAACTGTAGAGACAGTTGCCAGATACTTCTGATCTAAATTGGATAAAAAAGTCGTGTTCCTATAAGTCCTCCAACAAAAATTTAACTAACTGGCCAGGAAATATCTAACATAGCAACGTAGTTACATGTAGAAGATAATTCAAAGTTCAAATATAAATTCACTATTCGCTGAATTTATGCCAATATTTATAATAAAATTAAAAGCCCAAGCCGTAGATCTTTAGTATACACTGCACTAAATGAAATCTGCTTCATTAAAATTTATACAACAGTCAATAGACATAAACCACATCTCATAGTCGCATAAATTGATATTAATGGTTTGGATACCTTAAAGCCATGCATACATTTCCTTTGTCCTCGTGTTGCTTACGGACGATTTGGGGGATGTAAATTTCTGCTGAGAACTCTCTGCTCAATGATGTTTTGTCTTTCAAAAGCAATAAGAATTCCTCTCTCGACATTTTAGTCCCCCACAATATTCCTCATTCAAACGCAATTTCAATTCATTCAGAGATTTATCATTCTCTTGCGAAATTGCAGTCTGAACAGCAGCATACATATCAATATTTAACATTGTAGTTTGTAAATGATTTTCCAAATAAATGCAATGAAACAGATTTTACAAACCACGCTATAGTGAATCACAACGTGATGATCTATCCCGCGAGTGTTGCCAGATGGGTAGCCTGCAAACCCACCCGAGCTACCTTTAAAAGTAGCCCAAAATAGCCCAATTATATTTTGCAAGAAATAGCCCAAATTTGCATCAAAACAAGTAAAAACCGAGCCCAAGTCTGTTGAAAATATTTAATTTAAACCAAACTACACATTGATATCGTATATCGCATTGTTTACGTCTTCTGTACTTTCATAAATTCTGAAGCAAACCTAGATATCATTTGAGGCCAAGGAGTAAAATTGTTGCAACAAATTTTTTGCGTTGCCATATATGATTTCACGTGCAAGAGATTCTCTAGTAGCGACTGTGTCCCATTTGATTTCTTAGTTTGGATTTTAGCAAAGCCATCAGAGAAAATGCTCTTTCAACTGCTGCGTTGCTAAAAGGAAGAGCCAAAATAGAAAGTGCAAGGCTTCCCAACTCTTGAAAATCGTGATCCCTAGAAGCATCAACATGATTAATGACGTCAATCCGAAATTGCTCAATCTTCTGGTCGTTGACATCAATCCACTGGATTGAACCAATGCGACTATATTGTTGGTCAAGTTTACCTAAATCTCCGGAAAATAGTGGAAGAAACGACAGGTCTTGAAGAGATCGTTTCTGTTTGCCTGTAACAACAGTTGGACTTAGATCAGCAATAGACTCAAGCAGCTCCACATTGCATGGCAACCTTTGCTTCATTTGCCTGAGCAACTCAACCAGAAATTGTTGACATCTAGATTTGATTACATCAACCTTTTCAGAAGTTAAATTTGATTCCGCCAATGCCACTTGAAATAAAATACCAAAGTCGACCGCAGAAAGAGGCAAATGATTTGTCTCATCCTCTATGTCGTACGTGAGAGTGGAGCACCATGTTGTAAATGTCACAGGCTTCATAGTACGGAAAAGAAACGCTTTATACAAACTCATAACATCAGTGAGGAGTTGCAACGGGTTAGCAGATTCTGACTGAAACAGCTTATTTACTCGGTTTAATTCTTTAAGGATAGGCTGCAGAAAAATTAGATATAATTTCTTCTCCATGTCACCATACATTTGAAAAAGTAATTCTGCAGTGTAGTTGCAATCTTCATCTTTGGCAAGATGAAAGTGTAGTTTCAGTTCGTCAAACTGTTGGAGTATTCGTTCAACACATGCAGAAATAGATAGCCAACGTGTGTCGGAGAGCTTTATAATCTTCAAAGGTGCTTCCCCCACGTTGATAGCTGAATAGATCTGGCGATACTTTCGTTGCCTAGAAGTGCTATGAGAAAACCAGTTGTACGTTTCTGACACCATGAACTCCACATTCCGTGGCATTACTTTAAGAGCATGTGAGGAACAAAGTTGGATAGAATGACAAATGCATCTTATATGTATTATGTTAGGGCATAGTTCACGAAATTTTGTGATTACAGAATTGTTCCTTCCATACATTGTGTTGCACCCATCAGTGGCCGAGCCTATACACTGCTTGATATCAAGTTCCTTTGCTCTCAAAAATTCAATTATTGCTTGAAAAATGGCCTCTGCCGTTCCTGATTCAATAGACAAAAGTCCAAGGAAGCTTGTGATAATCTGTTGTTTGGCTGCGCTGTAATACTTAACCATAATGCACAGTTGTTTTTCATTGCCAATGTCAGTGCTTTCATCTATAATTAGTGAATAAGGGATATCGGCCAATTCTTGAAGTAGTTGTTCTAACATCGCTGGTCCTAACACACATTTATTCAATGCAGTACACTTTGTTCTGTGGAGTTTAACATCTTTCCCTGAGACATCTTTAAATAACTCGCCAAGATGATCCACGGTGTTTAAGCTAGAATGACACGCGATGTGGGCAGCTATCTTTATCTCTGTAACTTTTAGAGAATTGTCTAATTTTTTACTTTGACAACCTAACTCAAATAAGGTTCTTGAACTGGAAAAAGGTTGCTTGTTGCGCTTATGTTTCTCAGTTTTTGCATGAGAAACTAGATCTACATGATGTGCTCAAATTTGCGTTTTGCAATACTTACAATATGCTTTTTGGTCGTCTCCTGGTACACTCAAAATCCATTCTTTCAAGATTTCTTCCTTTTCCCAGTCTTTACAATACTTTTTATGGTATTTTGCCCACTTTCCCATGTTATATTTTAGCGTTATATATAAGTCTTTCGTATGAGCTCCGAACGTGAGTTCAATGTACTAGAACGCTATTAAATTTTGTGATTATTTCATTCACTAGCGAAGAAGTTATTTACAATAGTCGTGAGTATTCTATCTTTTACAATTTATTTGGCTAAACAGTTATTACAAGGCGGTGCAGTTATTACAAGGCGGATAATGTACTTGAAATTTGAGTAGTTTTACGTAATTATAAAGTAAAGTGCGTAAGTTTAAGTAGCGCGTTTGAGTAAGTGTAGGATTGGCTATTTCCTCTATTGCTAACACATAAATCTAGATGAATAATATACGCACGTTATGTACGTCACTACAATATTAGCGCAATTGCTGTTTACCACGACAAAAACAAAAACACGTGGAAGCTAGATCATCAAAATTTTTTTCAGCCCAAAAAATCGAGCAAAAAGTTATTCCCAGCCCAAAAACCCGCAACCGGCAACCTCCCAAAATTTCCCGCAAATAGGCTTATAAACCAGCCCAATTGGGCGGGAAAACCGCCCATCTGGCAACACTGTATCTCGCATTCCAGACACCACGCTTGACTATGTAAGCTCAGAACGCTATCAGTCGAAATCGGTCAAACCAATCACATTAAAACAAAAATTCAAATGAGCCAATTGTAAGATAGCAATTGGACTCCCTTATAGGTCCGGCCACCCCTATTATCGGTCGAGATTATTCCAGACTGTCCACTGATCTGGACATTGACCAATAAAATAGCGTTTCTGGCGTTCATAGACTCCTTTATATGTCGAACCAGTCAAGCCACCCGGCTTATCAGTCGGTTATTCCAGGTCAATTAAAATTCAACTGATCTGGTTACCAAGGAGATATTCATTGGATTTGTCATTAGTTTTAAATAATAAATAAAGCTGGATTTTTATCACGAAGTAAATGCGATATTAAAGTAAGAATAATTAATGAATTTTTAACTAATATGAATAGGTAATTTTTGAATTTCAAACATCAGTCGCCCTGGATACAGGGTAAAACCCACTGCTTTTTGCTTTCTTTTAAAATTGCAGTGAAATCTCATTAGAATATTCAAGCATAAGCTAAGAGAAGAACAAAAGAAGAACAAAAAAAATTTAAAGAAAATCCCAATGTGTTTGTCTTTAAAAACCTCTAGAGCAATAGAAACAAAAGTCTCGACGTTCGTGCTTATTTTACTCGTGTGAACCAGGTTTAAATATTATTACTTCAGTAATGCAGAAAGTTATTGTGTTCGCGAATGAGAAGTTAATTACAAACTGATTGTCTTCACAACATTTCAAATGTGTAAGACAATTAGTAGATTTTTGTAAATGTGGTTGATGGTAAACTGGGAAATAAAGTATTTTGCCACTACGAAAAATATTTTAAGTAAAGTAATTTTTGCCAAGGAAAACTTGTATTTTATTGTTCAATAAACTGCAATGAAACAAGGACAAGAAAAAAGGTATAAACTATCCTCTAAAAACTCAAACTTATTTAGATACAAAAGACATTCACCTATTTCAGAAACTTATCAAAGTAGTTAATGATTACATAAAATTTTGAACTATACATTTTGAATTTTACAAATTTATCATCCAATGTAGCCAAACAAACATTGATGAGTTATAACGTTCCATAACTTAATGAAATTTTGTGTCTTAGACATACTTTTGTCCAAAAGGTAAAACTTCAGCAATAGCTCTACTTCGTGATTCATTCATTGAAGGAAGATATGTCCATGAAGAACTACTTCCCATTTCGAAACACTCCACTGATTTAAGATGTCTACCTTTATAATTCATACCTCCCATGACAACAATTGTATCACCAGTTATAACTGCACAACACCAACGTCTCCTTTGCAACATGGATGGTAAGACTGTAATCTCACCTGTTTTGCTGTCATACATGATAACACTGTTCAAATTTTCTCTTCCATCATAACCTCCAAGAAGAACAACTTGATCTCTCCATTGAACTGTTGCCATTTCAGTCAATGGATGAGGTAATGGATGCATTTTCTTAAATGTAAGAGTCCTTGGATCAAATTCCAAAACACTGGATAAAACTTCGCTATATTTTCCCCATCCTCCAAAAATAAGAACTTTATCATCAACAACAACAGCTCCATGGCGCGAACGTGGTTCAGGCATGTGACACAACTCTTTTAAAACATGAGATGTTGTATCAGTAATCTGTATTTCACTGATCAGATCCGATTTTCTTTTGCCAACAATGAGTCCTCCAATGAGAAAGATTTGTTTTTTATAAACAATAGTTTGATGACCCTTACATTTATAAGGAAACTCTGCAGGAAATGTCTTCCATGTCAAAGGTAACTGTTTTATATTCAATGTCTCTATTGACTTGCCGATGTCACCTCCGACAACAAATAAGTTAACATTATAAATAAATGATGAAGCAAAGCTGTGTATATTCTCCATTGATACAGTCTCAAACCATTTCTTCTCCTTCCATGAAAAAATTTCAACACTCTTTGTTTCGCCTCCAGTAACCAAAATATCACTTCTTAATAAATCCATAACTAATTTAACTGGTGATGTCAATGTTGGAGCAGAATGTTCATTTATAGTCATCTTGTCCAAAAGTTCAAACATCATGGTTTTCATTTTTTCCATTTCTTGGGAAGATTCAATCAAATTTTTATACCAAGACTCGACAGCGAACTCCTTGCGCCAGTCCTGTATTGGATTAAAATTTTTTCCGTCTCCAAGGTCAATACTTGGCCAAGTTGTTAAATGATCATGATTCTTGTTGATCCTTGCAATAAACTTATATAAATGATGGTTGAGAAGAATGACAGACTTCATATTTTCCATTCTTTGGGATTTTTTCAACTTCGCTCTGATGCCACCACCGATAAATACAGAGAACATTTCTTGAACACCCTTCAACTGATGAAGCTTTTTTATATAAGATAAACATAAATCAATGAGATTCTTTCGATTCTCCGGACATTCAAAAATTTGTGCCATGATCTTAACAAAAACGGCATATATTCTGTCCTCCAAGCTTAAATTTTTGTTGTTGAAAACATCCGTTGCTTTCTTACGGGAATCTTCAAATCGTTTTTTTGCCATTTTAAAATCCTTTGAATGTTGTATTGCACGGGAAAGATCATACCTGGTGGTGATGGCAGTACAAGTTGCCTGAGACTTATGATTATTACTTGCTTTTTCACATTCTCTATCACTTTCTACTTCGTCAATGCAATTAAAAAGTAGAAGAAATCCTTCCTCCAAGTAGTTTAAACTGGAGCAAAGGTCTATTTTCGAAAGATTATCTAGCTTTGTTTGGATTTCGTGTAAATCTCGCTTGATAAATTCCCGAAATCTTTCATTAACAACGTCACCGTTTTCTAGCCTCTCTGCTGCAGCATCTCGGGCTTTGTTCGTAAAAAATTGAAACATGGAGAGCAGTAAGCTATCTAGAGACATGGCGTTTTGATGATTTGTACTCGTAGAGCTTAAGTATAAATCTATTGCGTCTCTGTCAAAAACAAAAACATTAGTAAAATTAGCTGTGTTTGTATGAATACTCGATACAAATAAAATGCTTTCTTTCTTTTAAAATTTCAACCAATCATAATAACACCAACGAGTTACAGCATTTTCCATAGATCAGATTTCTACCGTTGCCAAAAAGTTTTAAAAATTACGAGGGAATAAGAAGAAATCGATAATGAGAGAAAAATAAAGGGAATTTTAAAATACGAACAAAATCCAAATAAAATTTAATGCTCCTGCTATGTTGTTGATTTAATGATAGTTTACCGGCAAATATTCAAGAGTTACTTTACAACACTTTACATGACACTAAATGACCATTTTCTTGAGAAAACCGCTGAACGCGCGTACTGCATTTTTGTGATTTAGCGTTCATTTTGTACAAGCAGGAAACTAAAGTGACCGAACGAGATCTTATAAAAACTAGAGCACCATTCCTACAAAATTATCCTAGATCTATCTCTGCAGTAAGGTTTTACAAAGAGTAGACGATATTTATAGTCCACTATTTAGTCCCGTTATTTCATCAATTCTGTATCGTTTGTGTGTGTTTGAAGACATGAAAATTGATGTGTGTAGCGACTTGTAAAGTGTATTTATTAGCTAACATTAAATATGGCTCAAAGTCTACATTGTCAAGTGACGAAAGCAAAAAAGCGATAACGAAAGAAATATATAGAAGTGAGAGCTTTTAAAAGAGAAGGGAAGTTTATTCAAATTAGGATAAATAAGATAATGAGGGAAATTCTGTTGGGAAACCGTAACCACTTTTCCGGCTGATTCTGCTTTAGTTCATTAATTTTGCATCTATATTATATATTGTATTTGTTGCTACAATAGTTTGTGTCGATCAGTACGTCGTGCTTTAATTTATAAGACTAAACTTACTTTGACCTTTCCAACAGAATTCATTCAATGATATTTAGTGCAGCTAGTGCTTACGTTTTATTGATAACGTTGACAATCTTCAGTTTGTCGAATGACTTTTGCATAGTTAGGGAAATTTTTTATGTTTTAAAAAGCAATTTATTCAAAACAATCGAAGGCCCATCAAATGCTAGGGATGCAGGGAAGAAAACCAAGTGATCAAAAATTGTTCCAAAAGAAAGAAAGGGGAGAATAAGTGTAGAAACAAGCAGGGAAATTAATTAAAGCATAAAGCACCTTCGATAGATACTGAGGGAAACAAAAATGAAAATTCTAGAGGTAATGTATTTGTCGTAGAAATGACAGCAACAGAAGGAAACGGTAGTTGGATATTTGATTTAGGAGCCACGCGACATATGAAAGCTAGTGGCGATAATTTAGTAAATTACTGCGAGTTACCAAAGCCAGAACCTGTTACACTTGGAGACGGTGGTTATGTAAATGCATATGGGTATGGACAAGTTGACATCACCATGATACTTGGACGTAAAGAGAAAGATCAACAGAAATCAATTTTGACAAAGGTACTGTACGTCCCAAAGATAGCTATAAATCTTTTTAGCGCACGTGCAGCAGCATCTAAAGGCAGAGTGGTTCAATTTGGACACAGTCTCTGTTGAATAAAGAACTCCAATGGACAAGCTGTAGCACGCCGTCGACTAGTTGGGAACATGTATCAACTTGATTGTAAAGTTGACAAACCGGAAAAATAAGCATCAGTTAATGAAAGTGGCACTAAACTTGATCTATGGCACCAAAGAATGACACATCTAAATGTCGGTCAAATGAAACTATGGCTTCAAAGCAACTTATCACAGGTATGGACATACCTAAATCTTGCAATTCAAGCTTTTGTGAGGCATGTGCAGAAGGAAAGGCACACCGCACATCATTTAAACACGTAGGAGATATTCATTCAACCAAAAGATTGGAGTTGGTTTATAGTGATGTGTCCGGACCAATAAAAACTGAAAGCCTTGGAGATGCAAGATATTTTGTCACCTTCATTGATGATTATTCCAGATGTGTTAAGGTATATCCAATGAAGCACAAGTCAGAAGTGCTTGAAAAATTCAAGGAGTGGGAAGCAGCAGTCACAAACCAATCAGAGTGTAGGATAAAAACACTACGCACGGATAATGGAAGTGAATATGCATCCACTGAGTTTGAAGATATTTTAAAGGAGAGAGGAATTTGTCATGAGACAACAGTGCCACATTCACCCTAGAAAAACGGGATAGCTGAGCGCACGAATCAGACAATCCAAGAAGCAGCTCTTTCTATGATTTTGCATGCTGGACTGTCCAAAGCTTTTTGGGCTGAAGCGGTCTGCACTGCAGCCTACATAAGAAATCGAGTCATTACGAGTGCAACTGCAGTAACTCCGTATGAAAGATGGTATGGAAAGAAGACAAATGTGTCCATTTTCGCGTCTTCGGTTGTACTGTTTATGCCCATGTTACTGATGCGGTGCTCCAGAATTTGTGCAAAAAGCAGTCGTGATGAGATTTGTTGGTTACAGCCTTATATAGAAAGGATACGGGCTGTATGTTGAGAATCAACAAAAAGTCTATTCAGAGGGACGTTACATTTAATGAAACAGATTTTCGATCAACAAAAGCTCAAATGAAGTGTGGTGAAGATATTACCGAGTGTGCTGAAGAAGGACCAGAAATAAAGGTGGTGCAACCAGAAATGGAAAGGACAAAATGGTGCAACCAGATATGAACAACAAGATGCATCAAATGAGCTACGACGCTCAGGAAGAGAGAGAAATCCACCAATATATTACCACGACGAGTATGCTGGGATAACTACATCGAAGCATGCAGCACTTTACGTATCTGACATCATAGAGCCAGAAACCGTAAAAGATGCTCTTAATGGGGAATATGCAACGAAATCGAAAGGTGCTGCAGATGCAGAATACCAGTCTTTACTAGAGAATAAGACCTAGGAATTTTGCATATTACCAGCTGGACGTAAGCCTATCAGTTGCACGTGGGTCTTTAAAGTTAAACACGATGAAACAGGAAAGGTACAGAGATTTAAACGTCGTCTGGTGGCTAAGGGTTTTCTGCAAAAATATGGAATTGAGTATGAAGATACCTTCTCTTCAGTCGTTCTTTTTTCGTCGATTCGCACTCTTCTGGCTTTTGGTGTATCTCGAGGCATGTTGATCCATCAAATGGATGTCGTAACGACATTCCTCAATGGAACATTGAAAGAGGAAATATACATGCAACAACCTGAAGGCTACGTAAAACCAGGAAAATAAAAGCTAGTGTGTCGTCTCAAAGAATCGATTTTTGGTCTAAAGCAAAGTCCACGTTGCTGGAATAAGGTTTTAAAAGAGTTTATGTTATCATTAAGATTTGTTCAGAGTGAAGCAGACCATTGCCTATTTATTCGTTTTCTCAAAGATAAGCTGGCAATTTTCACTGTTCACGTTGATGACCTCATACTTTGACTGAAACTGAAGAAGAGATGAATGATATAAAGGCCAACTTGGCAAACCAATTCAAAATGAAAGATATGGGCGTACTCCACTACTGCCTAGGAGTTAGTATTACTATAAGAACGGTGTGTTGTAAATCAATCAGAAGCAATACATCAACAAAATTCTGAAAAAGTATAAATTACAAGATTGCAAGACAGTGCCTACGCCAATGGATGTAAGCGTCAAATATGTTAAAGAAGATGGACATTACAAATCAGTTGATGCCTCTTACTATCAGTCAATGGTAGGAAGTTTGATATACGCGGCAATTGCTACCCGTCCAGATTTAGTTCAATCTGTAACAACATTGGCTGAATTCAACACAGCAAAGAACGAAGCACATCTTACAGCAATGGAAGTATCTTTCGTTTCTTGAAAGGAACTTGTAAACTAAGCCTGCAGTAGCAAGAAAAACAGTAACAGTATCGATTTAGAAGGATCCTTTGATGCAGACTGGTCCTCCGACACAGACGATCGATCGACGGTCAACATCCGGAAATGTGTTTATAATGTCAGTTGGTGCAATCAGTTGGGCAAGCAAGAAACAACCAACAGTGGCTCTTTCAACGTCGGAATCGGAGTATATTGCGTTATGTTATGCAACCCAAGAATTAGTATGGCTGCGACAACTGTTTAAAGACCTACAAATGGATTGCACTGCGGCTAAGAACATACATTAAGATAAACAAGGTACAATCGCTATCTCAAAGAATCCAGTGCTACACAAACGGACAAAGCACATTGATATTAAACACCATTTCGTGCGCGAGAAAGTTCAAGATGGAGCACTCGAAATAAAGTACTGTCCAACCAAGGAAATGATAGCAGATATTTTTACTAAACCATTACCAAGAGAACAATTTGAATAGCTGTGATGCAAACTGGGACTTGCATAAACATTGTGACATATTGAGTGAGTGGGAGTGTTGTAAATTACACTCAACATTCTTTATTACGTTGTTATGAAAGATTAGCCATGTTTAAGGTTATATCATGGGCGCATGTGTACGTTCTCACAACGTTGGTTGTTTTTTCCTTCTATCGTAATAAAAATATCTTAATACTTTTATGTTTAAAGTGTTTTCTCTGCTGAAATATATAGCAATATGAACAAGTATGTCATAGGGTGAGTGCGGGAGTACATTGCGACATGAAGTGAGGGGGGTACAGTAAAACATAGGGTGAGTGGGTGACTACAGTGTGACATAGAGTGAATGGGGGACTACAGTGTGACGTAGAGTGAATGGGGGACTACAGAGTTTCATAAAGTGAGGGGGCTACAGTGTGACATAGAGTGAGTAGGGGATTACAGAGTAACACCTAGGGTGAGTGGGTTACTGCAGTGTGGTATAGGGTGAGTAGGGGACTATAGTTTCTTGACTTCATCAAACGCAACACTTACAAACTCAATGAACCCAACGAAACGAACAACACAACAATAACAAAGTAAATGGTTTGAACCCGGGAGTATCGTTATGTGATGATTTAGTTGTAATGTTTGTGTGTCAATTGTGTATTGCCATTGTGAATTAATGTGAAGTGTAATGTTTTTAGTTGATCGTTTGTTTGTATTAAGAATAAGTTGTTTGTAAGGTGCCGGTAATTGCTGCGATCTGTTCAGGGGGGTTTGTTCCAAGTTGGTGTACCAACTTTCTAATGTAAGCCGTTGTCTATAGTCACTATTGTAAGTAATGCATTTTGCCGAGTCCCAGTCAATGTTGTGCTTTGTGATTCGGTGATGTTGGGCAATGTGATTAGTTTTGTCTTGTTTCTTTGTAGCTCGTTTGTGTTCACTAAGTCTTATGTTTAAGTTCCTGCCAGTTTCCCCGATATAGGAGGCGTGGCAGTCGGAGCAGTTTATTTTGTAAACTGCACCTTGTCGTCAGTTGGGTTTTTCTTTGTCCTTTATGTTCGTTAGTACTTGTGGTAACGTTGTGATTTGTTTATGTGCGACACGTATGTTGTATGGTCGTAAGATACGCGAGATACTCTCAGACGTACCTTTGATGTTAGTTATCGTTGCTGTTGTTGTGTTGTTCGTTTCGTTGGGTTCGTTGTGTTTGTAAGTGTTGCGTTTGATAAAGTCAGAGTTATAGCTGATTTTGTCAAAAACACGTTTGACATAATTGTTTTCGTTGTGTAGAGCGCCCGGTGAATCACATATGATTTGTGCACGTCTTGTTAATGCTCTGATTGTGGTGGCTACATCACAGAAAACAAAGGATGTAAACTCTCGACATAGCTAATTAATACGGCTTTTTCTAAAGAAAAGAGAGAAAACGAGCACTTGTTTTGAACAGTGTTTTTTTGAAGAAATTGGTGTTTGTATTTTCCAGAATTACAAAGTTGTGATGAAAATTACCTGGCAGTAGAAAAATTATGGTCATGTATTAGCTAATTTTTAGTATGACTAAAAAACTGCGCACAAAAGGCAGAGGATTGTTGTTTATTGAACTTCATAATGGACTGGAGTACTAACCTTGCCGTACTCATTTTTGACAACCCATTCTTTAAAAAAATAGTGAGTAAACTTTTACAAAATGGATGGTCATCAGTTCTTTATTAACAAAATCATACGGTGCGAAGATTTCCAAACTAGCATATTACGATATAAAAAAACCTTAAAATGACTTTCTCAGTCATTGACGGTAAAATATTTAAAACTATCACCAAAAAATTGAATGTTCATGCCGCGTCTAAGAATGTACAATAGGGTCAATTTAATTCTATATGTGCGATATTAATTAGTCACTTTTACTAAAGCATTAGTCTAGAAAAGACAAAGACAGAATCTTAAATGTTTAAACTTCCATAAAACATTATTCAAATTTTAAAGTATTCGTTGGATGTAACTTTATTTTCTTCATTAATTCGTTTCTATGCATATTGGCAAAATGCGAAGGCGTGCGTAGGGAGAAGGGGAGAATAACATACCAAACATACCAAAAATGTCTCTATTAAAAGAAATCTTATTGCGTACAAATTATCATGTAAAACTAGCATTTAAAATAAACATCAATGTATTTGTGACATCAATCTTTTAACTTGCTATTTTTATTTCTTTTTGTCCATTTGGTGAGTGGTGATAATAGAAGAACGGCATAAGAACGCCTTACTAAGGGAAAAGAGAATTCATCAGGCCGAATGCATGGAGGAACTACATGTAAGTTGCCCTCAATCTAAAACAAGTTCCTGACACAAATTAGTCCAAAGGTTGGAAGTGAGGGAGGAGGCTTCTCACTCATACGTGCTCATCGAGTGTGAATCAGAAATTGTGCTCTTGCGTATCAACACCAGACTCGTCTATCGACGGTAAGATTTTTGCTAAAATATTTCAAATCAAGTAGTGGCGTGAAAATAATGTCTTGGAATAGTCATGAGATGATTTTGAAGTCCCAGTCAACGAATATGCTTTTAGAATGGAAGCTTTCTTTAGTCGAAAGACCTTGGTTGGGTATTCACTATATCTCAAATCTGAAATGCCATTATTTACATATCATATGATACAATTACACAGAAATTGCGACATATTGACAACAATGTGAATTTCTGAAGAAATAATTAAAATTCAAACAACCGCTGCAGGTAAATAATTTCTTGTTGTTTTAGCTGTATATTATGTTATTTCTCTTATGTAAAAAGTTAACACTGAAGATAGAACAGTGAAAACATTTATACGAATTTCATTCATCAGAACTCGAGTTCTGAGCGGGCTTAGTTTTTCAATGAAAAAAAGTAAACAAATTGAACAAGTGATCAAAATATAAACATACTTTAAATGTCGATGCTAAAGTCGAGTTATTGTTATGAAAATTTCAACTATGTGCAATGTATTCACCACAAATGAAAATCTCACATTGAAAAGAACTTGAAGATTATAAAAACGATGAAAGTAGCGATTTCTAATCATCATTCTGCGAAGTGTACCAGACCTATTAAAGCATCTTGTAGAGTTGTCTTATGAGCTGGTTTACGATGAGTATATTTATGCAATATTTGCATCATAAAATATATATTTGTTTTGGTCACGCGATCATACTAAACATACTTCATGTTTTATGGAAATGAAATCAGACAGTGTAAATTGTATAAATCATTGATACTTGAATGCATGAAAAGATTTTCAATGTCTACAAAATGTGGTTATATTAAAGCAATGATAATCTTATATAACATCATGAATGTGTAAAAGGAAGAGAAACGACAATTTAGGCTGACCAAGTGTGTGGGAGTAATTAGGCTCAATCTAGATTCAGAAGTTTCTTATAAGACAATTTCCCGTAAAAATTTATCTAAAACTGTTAGTATTTTCTTAGTTAACTACATTTTTTCTTAATAATGTTGGTTTTTTGGTATGGTGAACAGGGAATCTACTTTATTGATGAAAGTTTTGTATGACGACACGAATTAAAAATGCGAAAAGATTTCACTAACCTTTGTTTAAATCTTATTTTTTTTGTATTTATATAAATTGCTTGCGCCTTGTGTCGTTCCCCAAATGTAGGCTTCTTATAATGTTCTCTTTTTCAGCAAAATGATCGAAAATGAAGACACATGTATTCACTCTTTCTTTTCTTGTTTTGGTTTAAACCATTCAAATTAATATGACCATTCATTTTAAACTAATAATGTTGATAAAATAAAGTCATAATGAACAAATAAGGAAGAGAAACAACAATTTGCTCTGACTAAATGCGTTAAATAATTAAAAATTATTCAATTAAAGACAATTTCGTGTCACAAATTTGCTTTAGTATATACTTGTTACATTGCGTTTGGTCTTTATAATGTTGGTTTTTCACAATAAGGAAAAATAGCAAATCTATATTATTGATTGAAAATTTATATGACGACATAAGAATTAAGTCATAAGAAACTATTTCATTCACCTTCCTCAAATATCTTTTTGTCTTTGTATTTATGGATTATTCGTGTTTGAAGTTGCTCGCAAAACACAGACCTCTTTTAATCTTCTTGTTGTAACAGAAATAATGAAAATTGAAAAAACCCGAATTCACCCTTCTTTGCAATCACAGATTGAATCATTGAAATGAGTACGACAGCGGAAAACGGTTTTAAGCATATTAACGAATTTCACACGTATGATAATGAGCAACACCTAGTCCAAGAAACAATAAAATCTCTTCTATACTTCTTACACGCGCGGTTGTCACGAAAGGAAAAAACACGTGACTAAGTATGTTAAAAAAGGATATAAACTCTCAACATAGCTAATTAATATGGCTAAGTAATAAACTTTGCTTTTTCTAAAGAAAATAGAGAAAATGAGCACTTGTTTTGGACAGTGTTTTTTTGAAGGAATAGGTTTTAGTATTTTTCAGCATTACCAAATTGTGATCAAAATTGCCTGGTAGTAGAAAAATTATGGCCATTTATTACGTAATTTTTGGTATGACTAAAAGAGTGTATATAAAAAGCAGAGGTTTGTGGTTTATTGAACTTCATAATGGACTGGAGTACCAACCTTGCCGTACTCATTTTTGACGAACCTTTTTTTAAAAAATAGTGACTAAATTTTTACAAGTTAGATGGTCATCTGTTTTTAGTAACAAAATCATACGGTGAGAAGATTTCCAAACTAGCATATTACGATATACAAAAACTTTAGAACGGCTTTATCAGTCATTCACTGAAAAATATTTAAAACTATCACCAAAAATTTGAATGTTCATGCTGCGTCCAAGAATGTGCAAAGGCTCAATTTACTTCAAAATGTGCGATAATAATTAGTCACTTTTACTAAAGCAGTATTCTAGAAAAGACCACGACCGAATCTTAAATGTTTAAACTTCCATAACACATCATTCAACTTTTAAAGTATTCGTTGAATGTAACGTTATTTTCCTCACTAATTCGTTTGTATGCATATTGCCAAAATGCAAAGGCGTGCGTGGGTAGAAAGGGAGAAGAACATATCAAACATACCAAAAATGTCTCTATTAAAAGAAATCTTATTGCGTACAAATTATCATGTAAAACAAGCATTTAAAATAAACATCAATGTTTTTGTGACATAAGCATTTGCCTTGCTATTTTTATTACTTTTTGTCCTTCTAGTGAGTGGTGACATTAGAAGAACGGCATAAGAACGTCTTAGGAAGAGTAACGAGAATTCAGCAGACCGAATGCATGTAGGAACTAAGTTGCACTCAATCTAAGACAAGTTCCTGACACAAATTAGTCCAAAGAAGGTTGGAAGTGAGGGAGGAGGCTTCTCACTCATACGTGCTCATAGAGTGTGAATCAGAAATTGTGCTCTTACGTATCAAAGGAAGACTCGTCTATCGACGGTAAGATTTTTGCTAAAATGTTTCAAATCAGGTAGTGGAGTGAAAATAATGTCTTGGAATAGTCATGAGATGATTTTGAAGTCCCACTCAGCGAATGGGCTTTTAGAATGGAAGCTTTGTTTAGTCGAGAAACCTTGGCTGGGTATTCACTATATCTCAAACCTGGAATGCCATTATTTACATATCATATGATACAATGACATAGGAATTGCGGCATATTGACAATAATGTGAATTTCTAAAGAAATATTTAAAATTCAAACAACCGCTGGGGGTAAATAATTTCTTGTTGTTTTAGCTGTATATTATGTTATTTCTCTTATGTAAAGAGTTAACACTGAAGATAGAACAGTGAAAACATTTATACGAATTTCATTCATCAGAACTCGAGTTCTGAGCGGGCTTAGTATTTTCAATGAAAAAAGTAAACAAATTGAACAAGTGATCAAAATACAAACATACTTTAAATGTCGATGCTAAAGTCGAGTTATTGTTATGAAAATTTCAACTATGTGCAATGTATTCACCACAAATGAAAATCTCACATTGAAAAGAACTTGAATATTATAAAAACGATGAAAGTAGCGATTTCTAATCATCATTCTGCGAAGTGTACCAGACCTATTAAAGCATCTTGTAGAGTTGTCTTATGAGCTGGTTTACGATGAGTATATTTATGCAATATTTGCATCATAAAATATATATTTGTTTTGGTCACGCGATCATACTAAACATACTTCAAGTTTTATGGAAATGAAATCAGACAGTGTAAATTGTATAAATCATTGATACCTGAATGCATGAAAAGATTTTCAATGTCTACAAAATGTGCTTATAATAAAGTAATGATAATCTTATATAACATCATGAATGTGTAAAATGAAGAGAAACGACAATTTAGGCTGACCAAGTGTGTAGGAGTAATTACGCTCAATCTAGATTGACAAGTTTCTTATAAGACAAGTTCCCGTCAAAATTTACCTAAAACTGTTAGCATTTTCTTAGTTAACTATATTTTTTCTTAATAATGTTGGTTTTTTGGTATGGGGAACAGGGAATATACTTTATTGATGAAAGGTTTGTCTGACGACACAAGAATTAAAAATGCGAAAAGATTTCACTAACCTTTGTTCAAATCTTATTTTCTTTGTATTTAAATAAATTGCTGGCGTCTGAAGTCGTTCCCCAAAAGCAGGCTTCTTTTAATGTTCTCTTTTTCAACAAAATGATAAAAAATGAAGACAGATGTATTTACCTTTCGTTTCTTGTTTCGGTTTAAAGCATTGAAATGAATATGACAATGTTTTCAGGCAAAATGTGATCAACGCCGCGTGTAACTAACATCATGAACCAATAAAATTCTTTCTAAAATCCTTCTTCGCGCGGGAGTCACGAAACGAAGAAACACGTGAACAGAAACCACTGCGTACAAGTCAGTGCTGCCACTCGTAGGGGAAATCCCCCACAGTAGGGGGATTTAGTGGTTTGTAGGTGGTAGGGGAAACCCACCGGGAAAACTGTAAAATCTAAGGGGATTGTAGGGAGAAAAGAAAATCGTTTATAAATGAGAATGTGTATTTTCATTTTTTCCCGAAATACTCTTTTCTACCTGTGTTGTCACTATTTAAGAAGTGATTGTAACAAACACTTTCTTTTGGAACATTTTGTGACTATATATGGCAATAAAAGATTAGAAATTTTGCATAAATAGAATGTGTCATTTCCGTAATTTGCATGTCATTACGTCACAACGTCTTACGCAAAATTACTAGCTTTGTAGTCCAGACATTTTTCAATTTTTTTTGCGTTCACTTTTTTACAAGCAGATTAAAAATTTCAGTGGTCTGACCCGACATAGGTATATAATAGGGGAATATGTTGTTGTGTAGGGGAAAGTAGGGAAAAGAAAACAAGGAAAATGGTCGTAGGGGGAGGTAAGGGGAAAATAAAGTTTTGATATAGTAAATGTGCATACACAGAGTTGCAGCACTGATATAAGTGTAATTTACCATCTTTACGCTTTTCGTCATATTCAAATGATGCAAAAATTAGATCGATTTTGGAAAAAAATACCGTTTCAAGTATGAAAACATCAGACACAAAATCACAGCAAAATCAATAAAAAAAGGATTTTTCTCAAAAAAACGGTAAACTAGAGTAAAAAACAAGAGAAAGCAAATACTTTGTCGCCTTATAATATTACCAAGACCACAATTAATAAAAGATATAGACAAATATTCACAACTACATTGATTAGTATAATTGATATACTTCTAGCATTCTAGAAAAACCTTAAAAAACAATCCCTTTTACGGTTCCCTGCACTAAAGTGTGAACAAAAGAAGTGGTAGCAAGGGATTGAGAAGGACACTTGTGACTATTATACTGAAATTACATGGGAACACTACCTGTAGTACTAAACCTCAATAATTTTTTGAAGCCATGATTATATCCCAAACAAGCGTGTGTATGTAGTCAATCACTTTTCTCTCCGTGAGAGAATCTTGAAACACTAAACACGCATGTCTGGGGTGAAATCTCGCGAGCCTGGGGTAAGATTTGGCTTCAATTATTTGCCTCAGGTAGCGTTCCATGTATTATATTTCAATGGTTGTGACACAAACTAGAACGCTAAACTTACCGCCATTTTTGATTTCGCACAGACTAAGAACATACAAAAGCCGCCATCGCCATATTTTTTTGTTTTTACAAGTTCTATGATATTATTTTTGAAATATCAATAACCGTTGACGTGATAAATCCCATTCCCATGTTCCATGTGTCCATTGGTCAAAGCGTTCTTTCGATGATCACGACAAAACTGCGCGATCCTCTCGCAAGCGACTCGCGCGACTTCCACGGGACATGTGAGGACAACGCGAAAAAAGTTGGGGCATTGAAAACACTGCACAGAAGAAAAAAAGAAAAATACTTTGATTAATTTTCTCTACTATGCAACTGTTTCTGAGCTGGCCAAAATAACAAAATGACAATTTTTGTGTCCGCGTCCCCTCAATAGGAGTTTCATTACTAGGAATTATACCTGATTAAATTCTGGAGTTTACAAAGTGTCCGTTCAATACAGGGCCGCTAAATGCAGGGCCACTTAATACAGGTTTGACTGTAGTTCATATCTTTAGAAAATTTATTTTTTCTCAATTTTTTTTCAGGAGATACACAAAAAATATTTTGCGTTGGAGTAAAAACAGGGTGACTTAGCTATTGATCTGGAGTCATAACTATCTCAATACGAGAGCGATTAACATGACAACGAAAAACAATGATTATACCGTTGATTTTAAGGAATACCGAAAAAAATGTTTTCTTTCAACTTCGACTTCGAACAGCCAAAGCAAAGCAAAGATATAAATTCTTGCTGGTATTAATGGAGACTAGTCCATAACTACAAGCGATATATTCATATCTGAAAGCCAAAAGAATTATTTCTGTCGTGAATTACAATCCATCCGATACGCCGGCCTGGCACCAAGAGCCTGCCATTGACACACAACGTTTATATGGTTTCCTCAAAATGACGTAATGCAATAGAAATGCGCATGCTCACCTTTTGGCGATGCCACCGACAACTAGAACAAGAAAATTTATTTTTAAACATCCCATGTTATGGAAAGGCTCTTTGCCGAATGTCTGCAAGAAATAAGAGAAAAAGTTAATTTAGTTCAAGCCTTGTTCAGTGTTGCCAAGCCTGATCACCATCTCGGGCAGTACCAATAAAATTTAGAACCCAACCCCCTGCATGTCTAACAACCGTGTCGACGTGTTGCAAGGACGCCATCTTGAAAGATGTCTTAACAAACCAATCCAAACATTTATTTAAAAATGAAATCTAGACTAAATCAGCGCTTCAACTCTATATCAACTCAGGAAAAGCAGATATTAGTCGTAATATAAACATCCCCAAGTTTTCCACCTTTCAAAATGGCGGCTTGTCTCACTCGTTTTTTAAATTTCGACGGAGTCAGACAACTAGTATGTATATTGAATTCTAGGTCACTTGGGTTTACAAATATTTTGCTATGAAACATTGTCATGAATCGTACAACCTGAAGGGCTGCACGCCCATTTTATTCAGTTCAGTTTTACCCAAATTCGAGATGCACAAATATTTTGAAGCGTTCATGTGTAAGCGAATTCTACAATCGTGATGACCTTACATTAGTTGAAACATGAATGTATTAAAAATCGGTTAAATTTAGGGCATCGAGAAATTCAAAAGTCATCAAGTGACATTCAATTAACAAACACTTACGACATGCGCGTAAACTTCATCACAGAGAACTGGGACGCGGTATTTTTCAGCAACTGTAAGAAAATAAAACAAATATGAATGCACGAAGTTTGTTGGTCGAATCGGCGGAAAAAACTTGTACATGTCTTGAGATATTTACTGTTCAAAATTTCTTCTAAATGTTCTCTTTTGTACAAAGAACCACAAGGATTTGATGGGTTGAAAACGACAATAAGCTTTGTTCTCTCGTCAATAAGTAAAGCCATATTGTCCAAGTCGACTTCCCAACCATTTTGAGGCTGAAAATTATAAATAATCATTGATCATTTGAACATAAAGTCTAAATCAACACTCAAGGTTAGTTTGTAGGGAATCCTTTGAACTACTGACTGCTTGACTTCATTGAAGAATAAATTGGAAAAGTCGTTGATTTCCACTACCACAATCAGAACATTATTAGACTATTCTTTGATCACAATTATCATGATTATTAGAACAGTCCTTAATCTTCATTATCATAATTAGAACTTAATTATAACAGTCTTTAATCTTAAACAGTAACGTAAACTCCAGATCTTTAACTTGTACAAACATACAATGAGTTTATAAAATCGTGTCTCAATCTTCCGCGACCCACAGATGCATTTGTAAAGACAGAAACCAGGTCTTGGAATTAAGATGTTATCACCACGATCAACTAGGGCGTTCAATGCTATCTCGATTGCTCCAGAGCAACCGCTGGCCAACAAAACATCCTGTAAAGAGAACAACATAAACATAGAAGTATAGGCGTTTTTATAGAATTAATTGAGTAAAAAGCCCTGAATCTCTCATTTTGTCAAAGTCGGGTTAGGGCCCTTGCTTTCTCAGGTGTCCTATCCCTTGACATTTTATGTAGGTGTGTATTTTACTTGCATTCACCCCCCATAATTTAAATGGTGAGACTGAAACACACAAATCTTAAGGGGGGAGTGGGGTGGTGAGAGAAGAGTATTCAACAAGGATGCTATAACCCTGTGTAAATTAAAAATTGTTGCTTAAGAATATTACTCACTGCATATGATATAATGAGATGAAACGTAAGAAAACAGCTACATTTTGGATGACCGTTGTCAATGAGCTGTATTTTAAAGGAATATACAATAGAATGCCAAAACTTGGTGGAGGGGCAGAAAGGGGGGAGAGGGTGAAAAGTTAGATTTTTCTGCCTTTATAAGAAGGAGTCCTTCATGTTAACGTAGACATCAATAAAGCTGCTTGAACTAAAATTATAGACGATTGCTTTAGGACAACAACAAAACATGTTGACATGAACAACTCCTAAATACTCTTTGAACATCACTATCAACAAGTTTCCCTATAGTTATGAAGCAGGAATATGTACCTCAGCATCCACGACGTATTCAGGTGTTGAACTGTATTTTGCAACAGCATTTTGTGCCTCTTTGCATCCTACAAAAACAAATACAGATGATTGTATATGACTGGAATAGTGGAACACACACAGTGTGTATCAAAACAACAGCAATCCTTTCATTTGTGAAGCAAACACTGACAATTATCAAACCATTCTTTCCACACTCCTCAAATCATAATACAAATTCTAAATTTGTGCATCATGTAAGCTAGAACAATGCAGCGAAATTCCACTTTACGTGGTACTATCGATCAGTTCCATTACGGATGGTTCATGTAGCCACAGAGCAACGAATATTTATCGCGTTTGGTTACAGTAAGGGAACTTACACTGTTTACTAGTAGACTATATTGAAAAAGTCTTTGAAGACCACACAAATTTCAGCTACTGTCCAATGCAAATCCCGAACATGAAACTCCTTTAAATTGCGTTCAGCCTCCTTGGGGATAATTTACTGCTGAATAGTGCAAGTTGTAAACATCTTGTGATTTTGAATTCACCGTATTCAGGCTTGCAAAGATGGCCACTATTGGCCAAAAACGGTCTCAGCTCATCAGAACAGTAAGAATTTCTCCACCTTATACAGCAAGTGGCAAGATCAACACATCAAAATCAGTTCAACGATGCATTGGAAGCACTTCTAATCTCATCAGTTTATGAGAAAGCCCATATCAAACGCTACGTTGAAAACATATGGATGACTTGCAAAGAACAGTGGGCTCAAATTTTCAGAAAACAACAAGCTGTTAATATAGTGAACACCAAAAACGGCGTCGAATCGCAAAACAGACACTTTAAGTACAATTATCTTCAAACAGCTATCGAAAAATCAATATATGGTGTAGTTACAATAAAGGTAGAATCATTTCTTCCAAACTCTTATCAGCACTACAAAGACACCAACTTCAAACAAAGCAGCAAATAAAAAAAGTACAACGAGAATGCTCCGTACTATTTGAATAATGGTCCAAACCACTTTATGAAGCACTGTATGAAAAGTTCATTTGCATCGCGCAAATTTCGCGATAATGATGTCGATTGCATCGACAATAATAAAGGTGATATCTCCGTTAGGAGCTCATCAGACAAAACTAAATGGTAAGAAAACAATCTCAGTGTTCCAAAATGTAGCTGTGATTCGTGGAGAAAAACGCAATTTCCCTGTAAACACAAGTACGCAATTTTTAATACCTTTGATAAAAGGAATTTCACAGCCCTCCCTCAACACTATGGAAACAGCGTTTTCATAACATTGGACAATGGCTTGAATCTAGAAGAAAATGAAAAAAAAGAGAAAACAAGAGGAGACTGATAATGAAAACAAGAACAATACAGAGATTGTCGAGAATACTTATGACGTAATAGTGCAAGACGATGAAAGAAGACGTGAAACAAAGGAAAACAAAATTAAGACAGAAAAATCTTGCGAACTAAAGGAAACTGCACAACGCGAAATTTATTGCTTGAGAAGTTGAGCCTTGTTCGAAATCAGGCATTCACCGTCAACGAGCAAAAATCTTTGCAAGAAGCGCTTGATTACCCAAATAAAATGCACGAAATCTTAAATGGAAATTGCCCAGCCAGTGAAGGTTTGCCAATAAGAAATAGTCCAACAAAAAAGTGTTTGAAATAACAAGTGTGGAGTATCATCAACTATTTCATATGAAATTGCCTTTTCGTCGAAAAAAGAAGCATGCTAATAACTATATCACAACAATGATCCCAGACATAAGTCAAAAGTGCGCTGTATCATCAAACAAGGTGAGATAATTTTCATTTTGGCAACCTCGACTGACGAGCTCTTTTTACAAATTATAATTTTCACTGACAATGTACGTCCCAGAATGCACTTGAAGAGCTAGTTGAGCAAGAATTGTTGTATGAGAGTGAAACAGAGGAAATCCAGGCATCACAAGAAAGAACTGAAGTACCGCCAATCAACAACTTGGAACAACAAGAAAGGTCAGTGATTCATTGTAAAACGAGCTGAAATTGTCAAAGTATCTTGATGCACTATGTTTTTAAATAATATATTACCTACACTGATACTTGCAAACAGTCGACATACAATTTATTGTTTCTGACTCCAAGGCAACGAATAAATGCATTTACAGAAAGACAATATCTTGGGGATACTGTGCTGGAATTTGGTCCTGTGAATGTATCAAAAGTAGATCTTTGGTCACTTGTCAGTCCAAAAGATAAAACTGAAAAAGAATTAGAAATTATTGAAAAAGAAGTCACCACATTCAAACTTGGTTGGCTGAATGACTCTGTAAGAGAAAAAAGCATCTAATATAGTCTTCTTATTTATCATTATAAGTAATTGTTTATAACCATGAGTGCTATGTACACGTAAAACTGGAGAGGAAATCTCTTCAAACTATGCTTTCTTTTGATTTTAGATAATTGACGCTTTTTTGTGGAGTTTAACTGAAAACTACACTATTGTTCTTGCAGCAGAATCATTTATTTCAGAAATTGTTAAAAACAACTCAAGCACAAGATGCACATAGGCTAATATATCTTTTCACCAAACCAAAATTATCCTTTTTCCAATCAATATCCATGGCATTCATTGGACACGACTTGTAAGTATTTGAGCTAAATAATAAAATATAGACATGCATTATATACATACTTAGACCACATGAGTCCACAGATTTACATGCAAAAATTAGTACCTATAGAAACATTAACTCATATAATTCCTTAATTAACAAAGAGAAAATTTTTAACTAAATGCCACAGTAATTTTGTGTAATATAGACTATAGATAAGTTCTCAAAAACAAGACTCTACTTTGACTCACTTGGAGGAAGTGCAGACAAAAAGACACCTAATACACAGATGATGTATCATATGAACAAACTAAGGTAATTCTCAACTTTGATCTTAAAAGATTTGCCCAAAAATAATTTTCAACAATCAACATTATCCTTCATGTGGTCATTGTTTGTCACTGCTTCTGTGCTTTGGTAGATGTAAAAACAGGAGAAACAAGAAACGAAAATTGATTCGATTTTCAAGTTTCGTGAAACACAAAAAGACAAAAAACAAAATTTGAATTCAATTTTTCATTTGAAAAACAAAAAACGAATTTTGTATTTGATTTTCTCATTATGATTTTTTATTATCAGCGAAAAACGAATGGTTTTAAGAATGAGTCTGAAGATTAAAGCCAGCTGGTTCACACAAGTGAAATAAGGATAAGCACAAGCGTAGGCAAAAGATAAAACAAAGATAATCAACGAAGCATTTGATATAAGCATCGACATAAGCGCAGGCATAAGGAAATAATTCAAGCATAAGCTAAGAGCAGAACAAAAGAAGAACAAAAAGAAGATTTAAAGAAAATCGCAATGTGTTTGTCTTTATAAACCTCTAGGGCAATAGAGACAAAAGTCTTGACGTTCGTGCTTATTTTACTCGTGTGAAGCAGGCTTAAATATTATTACTTCAGTAATGCAGAAAGTGATTGTGTTCACAACATTTCAAATGTGTAAGATAATTTTTGTAAGTGTGGTGTATGGTAAGCAGGAAAATAGTGTATTTTGCCACTACGAAAAATATTTTAAGTAAAGTAATTTTTATCATGGAAAACTTGTATTTTATTGTTCAATAAACTGCAATGAAACAAGGACAAGAAAAAAGGTATAAACTATCCTCTAAAAACTCAAACTTATTTAAATACAAAAGCCATTCACCTATTTTAGAAATTTATCAAAATAGTTAGTGATTATATAAACTTTTGAACTATACATTTTAAATTTTACAAATTTATCATCCAATGTAGTCCAAACGAACATTGATGAGTTATAACGTTACATAACTTAATGAAATTTCGTGTCTTAGACATACTTTTGTCCAAAAGGTAAAACTTCAGCAATTGCTCCCCATCGTGATTTATTCGTTGAAGGAAGATATGTCCATGAAGAACTACTTCCCATTTCGAAACCCTCCACTGATTTAAGTTCTTCACCTTTATCATTATCACCTCCCATGACAACAATTGTATCACCAGTTATAACTGCACAACAATTAAATCTCTTTTTCAACATGGATGGTAAGACTGTAATCTTACCTGTATTACAATGATACATGATAACACTGTTCAAATGTTCTCTTTCATCATTACGACCTCCAAGAAGAAGAACTTGATCTCTCCATTGAACTGTTGCCATATTACACAATGGATGAGGTAATCGAGGCATTTCCTTAAATATAAGAGTCCTTGGATCAAACTCCAAAACACTGGACAAAACTTTGCAATGTTTTTTCTCTCCTCCAAAAATAAGAACTTTACCATCAACAACAAAAGCTCCATGGTAGAAACGTGGTTCAGGCATATGACACAACTCTTTGAAAACATGAGATGTTGTACCAGTAATCTGTACTTCACTGATCAAATCTGATAATTTCCAATCAATTTCTCCTCCAATTAGAAGGATTTGTTGTTTATAAACAACAGTTTGATGACCCCAACATTTATAAGGAAGCTCTGCAGGAAATTTTCTCCATGTCAAAGGAGACTGTTTTAAATTCAATGTCTCCATTGACTTGCTGCTGCCGCCTCCAACAACAAATAAATTATCATTACAAATAAATGATGAAGCACACCAGTGTTATTTTCCATTGATGCAATGTTAAACCATTTCTTCTCCTTCCATGAAAAAATGTCAACACTCTTTAAAGAACCACGTGGGTAACCTCCAGCAACCTAAATATCACTTCTTAATAAATCCATAACTAATTTAACTGGTGATGTCAATGTTGGAGCAAAATGTTCATTTATAGTCATCTTGTCCAAAAGTTCAAACATCATGGTTTTCATTTTTTCCATTTCTTGGGAAGATTCAATCAAATTTTTATACCAAGACTCGACAGCGAATTCCTTGCGCCAGTCCTGTACTGGATTAAATATTTTACCCTCTCCAAGTTCAATACTTGGCCAAGTTGATAAATGATCATGATTCTTGTTGATCCTTAAAATAAACTGATATAAATGATGGTTGAGAAGAATGACAGACTTTATGTTTTCCATTCTTTGGGATTGTTTGAACATCGCTCTCATGCCACCACCGATAAAAACAGAGAACATTTTACGAACACCGTCCAAATTATGCAGTTCTTCTGTATAAGATACACGTAAACGAATGACAATCCCTGATGCTCCGGACATTCAAAAATTTGTGGCATGATCTTAACAATAACGGCAAATATTCTGTCCTCCAAGCTTAAATTTTTGTTGTTGAAAGCTCTTGTTGCTTCTTCACGACATTTTTTAAATCGATCCTTTGCCATTTCAAAATCCTTTGAATGTTGTATTGCACGGGAAAGATCATACCTGGTGGTGATGGCAGTACAAGTTGCCTAAGACTCATCATTATTACTTGCTTCTTCACATTCTCTATCACTTTCTACTTCGTCAATGCTTTTAAAAAGTAGAAAAAATCCTTCGTTCAAGTAGGTCAAACTGGAGGAAAGGTCTATTTTCAAAAGATTATTTAGCATTGATTTGATGTTGTGTAAATCTCGTATGATAAGTTTGCGAAATACTTCATTACCAACGTCACCGTTCTCTAGGCTGTCTGCTGCAGTATCTTGGGCTTTATTCGTACAAAATTGAACTAAATGGAGCAGTAATTTTTCAACAGACATGACGTTTTGATGATTTGTACTCGTAGAGCTTGTGTATAAATCTATTGCGTCTCTGTCGAAAGAAAAAACATTAGTAAAATTAACTGTGTTTGTATGTATACTCGATTCAAATAAAATGTTTATTTCTTTTAAAATTTCAACAAATCATCATAATAACTATTAATATGTTTACAGCAACGATTTACAGCATTTTCCAAAAATCAGATTTTACCGTTGCAAGAAAATTTTTCAAATTACATAGGAAAAAGAAGAAATCGATTGCGAGAGAAAAATAAAGGGAATTTTAAACTACGAAGAAAATCCAAATAAAACTTAATGCTCCTGCTATGTTGTTTATTTAATGATAGTTTACTGGCAAATATTCAAGAGTTACTTTACAACACTTTACATGACACTAAATGACTATTTTCTTGAAAAAACCGCTAAACGCGCGTACTGCATTTTTGTGATTTAGCGATCATTTTTGACAAGCTTTAAACTAAACTGACCGAACGAGATCTTATAAAAACTAGAGCACCATTTCTACAAAATTTCGTAAAAGCACTATTGCTAATGCGCATTTAATATAAACGACAAGTTTTTTGAAAATAGACATGTTTCGACATCTCATGATGCCATCTTCAGTATGAGTGAAATAATAAGTGATACAAGGTTTATATAAAAGTAATATGATACATAAATTACAACAATAAAAAGGAAATACGATTCAATTTTCTGATATTTTTGTTACTTCATTCGATAACTTCCGTTCTTCCTTTGTTCGCTTTTTGATTGCGCTGCGTAATAATCGTTTGCGTATCAAAGGAAGAACGGAAGTTATCAAATGAAGTAACAAAAATATCAGAATATATACGTAATATATTAATCCTAACATGGTTTTGATGCATTTGGCCAAATGCATCTTGGTCAAATCATTGCATATTTCAATAACTAAAAAGTAAAAAAGTCTGTCATTTTCTGCTGAGCAAGAAAATTTTGTGATCTTTCAGAATAAAAAATATCATGCTTGGATTAAATTGGGGGGAGGGGGGGCATAAACCACTCACTACCATTAAATTGTTACAAATCTTGAACACAAATCTCTCCGGACCAAAACCGCATGATTACGATGATTCGAAGTTTCGAACAAAGTCTTGTCCAAGTATTTGATAACACTGATGCCAGGATAACATTGCCGCTTGCCACCAAGGTTAAAGATCTTGAAAACTTGTTACAGAGTCGGAACATAAGCCGAGAAAACACGTTCACGTACGAAAAATACTTCTTACAATGGGTCACGATCAATTTGAAGCACGAACTAGTAAACAGCAAACGAAGCTCAAACCAATGAAATTAAATCAGGTCTGCCGCAAATCGTTAAAAAAATCAAAGAGCTTGCTATTATTCCTAATATATTTGATACTACCATGGAATAATCTTAAATTGCTTTCTTCTTTTGCATATAAACCCAATTTCCAATAGTATTATTATAGTTTCACTTTGCAAGTAGGAACCAAAATGGCGGCTCCTCTCTCGCCCCAGACCGTTTGTCCCAACTCTTATTCTATAGAGGGCTCTGGTATGTACTCGTATGTCAGCCGTATGTACTCGTATGTACTCGTATGTCACTCGTATGTACTCGTATGTACTCGTGTGGTGTTTTAGTCACGATCTATTAATTGAGGTATATACATAGATATATTGAGGTATACATAGATATAGATTAAAGTCAGGCTTAACATCTTTCAAGACCTATGGCAAGGTTACAAGTCCATCCTCCTCTTTGGTAAAAGTTGTAAAAGCAGCAGATAAAGCCCTTCGAGGAAGATTAATTTTTCCATGTTTTTGTATGTATTCAATATCATGTATTTCAATGTGGACAAACAATTATGGGAACTAAAGCAGACGAAATCCGTTTAGTTTGGTAGACAAACGCCTCGAGACAACCAAACGACCAATTTACACAACACTTCGCAAGCGATATTTTCGCCTGTATTCCAATAATAATTGTCTAATATGGCTTCAAAACAATATTAATAACGCTTTGTTTCCAATAAAACTTGATTAGAGGATTTTGAAAACACTGAAACGAAGTAAACTGCAAAAAACAACAATTGCCTAATACTTGCCCTAGGTTTTTTGCCCGGTTCCTGCGCCATCTTGGATTTATCATGAATGTCACGCTGCCGTCTTCAGTCTTATATCACGTCACACTCGTCAGCAATCTAGACCTACTATATCTATGGGTATATAGTTACAAATTACATAGGAGTGTTTTGGATATATGGCGACAAGAGGAAACAAGTTCGTTGCGTTTATTGAGGAATGATTTGGATGGTTGTTAGAGGATGAAGAATTTCTCTTTGAGGCAAAGGTAGCATCTTTTACTAGCGCTGTCGTATATTTTTATTTCTATGTGTATAATGTAAACATACTTCAAATGTCGATGTCTTGTTGTGGATATATATTACCGCATTTCATTCATCGGAAACCAAGTTCTGGGCGGGCTTAGTATTTTCAATGAAAATATAGCGTGAACAAATTTTATTATACTAAAGATAGATTTTATTATACTAAAGATAGATTGTCATAGATTGTATAATTATATGTGTATAATGTAAACATACTTCAAATATCGATGCTAAAGTCGAGTTATTGTTATGAAAATTTCAACTATGTGCAATGTATTCGATCGTGACTAAAACACCACACGAGTACATACGAGTACATACGAGTAACATACGAGTACATACGAGTGATATACGAGTACATACGAGTAACATACAAGTACATACGTTTAACATACGAGTACATACGAGTGACATACGACTATTTTCTGGTCAACAAATGAGAAACACAATTTCTTCAATACATTGATATTTGCGTTTATTTTTCCTTGTATTTGTGTGGACTTTGGGGCAACCATTTGATGGATTTAAATGCTGAAAAGGTATTTTACTTTCATACTACATTCATTTGTATGTTTTAGTTGAATTTGTTATAGATATTTTGTCGATGCGATTTGCCAGTATTTGAGCGCTTTTTGACACACTTTCACCTAGGAAATACATATTTATGATAAAAAATGAAGACACATGTATTCACCCTTCGTTTCTTGTTTTGGTTTAAAGCATGAAATGAATATGACAATTGTCGGAACTTATATAAATAAGTAATAGATAGTTGTTATTTGATACTAGGAACCTATGAAAGAACGGAAATAGGAACTTATGTTAATACTTTATTAGTTGTGACAGTTTGAAAGTCAGGGTCTTCTGTCGCTGGCAATGAAGGTAAAAGCTTGAAATTTTAAGGTTTTCTGTGATGCGGAATAGTTATATTGAGTAAAATTGAGAATTTGTGTCAACTGCGCGTACAGTAGGATAGTATACAGTCCCAAAAAACGAATAGGCAGACGCATAACTGCTTTGTGCTAACGTGCAAAGGAGAAAATTGCTGCAACAATGCTTTAGGGCGAAATAAAATTCTTTCTAAAATCCTTCTTCGCGCGGGAGTCACGAAAAGAAGAAACACGTGAACATGAAACCACTGCTTGTAAGTACGGTGGCCCACAAGGGACACGACTTCTTTATACAAAACTCACGTGAAGTCTTCACTTATTTGTAACCTGATCCATAGAAATAGACCTCCGTAGAAATAGACCTTCTCCGTAGAAATAGACCTTCTCCGTAAAAATAGACCTTCGTAGAAATAGACCTTCTCCGTGGAAATAGACCTTCTTCGTAGAAATTGACGTTCTCCGTAGAAATGGACCTTCTTCGTAGAAATAGACCTTCTCCGTAGAAGTTGACCTTCTCCGTGGAAATAGACCTTCTTCGTAGAAATTGACCTTCTCCGTAGAAATGGACCTTCTTCGTAGAAATAAGCCTTCTCCGTAGAAGTTGACCTTCTCCGTGGAAATAGACCTTCTTCGTAGAAATTGACCTTCTCCGTAGAAATGGACCATCTTCGTAGAAATAGACCTTCTCCGTAGAAATTGACCTTCTCCGTGAAATAGACCTTCTCCGTGGAAATAGACCTTCTCCGTGAAATAGACCTTCTCAGTAGAAATAGACCTTCTCCGTAGAAATGGGCCTTCTTCGTTGAAATCGACCTTCTCCGTAGAAATGGACCTTCTCCGTAGAAATAGACCTTCTCGTGAAATAGACCTTCTCCATGGAAATAGACCTTCTCCGTAGAAATAGACCTTCTCCGTAGAAATAGACCTTCTCCGTAAAAATAGACCTTCGCAGAAATAGACCTTCTCCGTGGAAATAGACCTTCTTCGTAGAAATTGACGTTCTCCGTAGAAATGGACCTTCTTCGTAGAAATAGACCTTCTCCGTAGAAGTTGACCTTCTCCGTGAAATAGACCTTCTTCGTAAATTGACCTTCTCCGTAGAAATGGACCTTCTTCGTAGAAATAAGCCTTCTCCGTAAAGTTGACCTTCTCCGTGAAATAGACCTTCTTCGTAGAAATTGACCTTCTCCGTAGAAATGGACCTTCTTCGTAGAAATAGACCTTCTCCGTAGAAATTGACCTTCTCCGTGGAAATAGACCTTCTCAGTGGAAATAGACATTCTCCGTGGAAATAGACCTTCTCAGTAGAAATAGACCTTCTCCGTAGAAATGGGCCTTCTTCGTTGAAATCGACCTTCTCCGTAGAAATGGACCTTCTCCGTAGAAATAGACCTTCTCCATGGAAATAGACCTTCTCCGTGGAAATAGACCTTCTCCGTAGAAATAGACCTCCGTAGAAATGGGCCTTCTTCGTTGAAATCGACCTTCTCCGTAGAAATGGACCTTCTCCGTAGAAATAGACTTTCTCCGTGGAAATAGACTTTCTCCGTAGAAATGGAGTAGACCTTCTCCGTAGAAATGGGCCTTCTTCGTTGAAATCGACCTTCTCCGTAGAAATGGACCTTCCCGTGAAATGGACCTTCTCCGTGGAAATAGACCTTCTCCGTAGAAATTGACCTTCTCCGTGGAAATAGACCTTCTCCGTAGAAATCGACCTTCTCCGTAGAAATCGACCTTCTCCGTAGAAATAGACCTTCTCCGTAGAAATAGACCTTCTACGTAGAAATGGGCCTTCTTCGTTGAAATCGACCTTCTCCGTAGAAATGGACTTTCTCCGTAGAAATAGACTTTCTCCGTAGAAATGGAGTAGACCTTCTCCGTAAAAATGGGCCTTCTTCGTTGAAATCGACCTTCTCCGTAGAAATGGACCTTCTCCGTAGAAATGGACCTTCTCCGTGGAAATAGACCTCCGTGGAAATCGACCTTCTCCGTAGAAATAGACCTTCTCCGTGGAAATAGACCTTCTCCGTAGAAATCGACCTTCTCCGTAGAAATCGACCTTCTCCGTAGAAATCGACCTTCTCCGTAGAAATAGACCTTCTCCGTAGAAATGGGCCTTCTTCGTTGAAATCGACCTTCTCCGTAGAAATGGACTTTCTCCGTAGAAATAGACTTTCTCCGTAGAAATGGAGTAGACCTTCTCCGTAGAAATGGCCTTCTTCGTTGAAATCGACCTTCTCCGTAGAAATGGACCTTCTCCGTAGAAATTGACCTTCTCCGTAGAAACGGACCTTCTCCGTAGAAATGGACCTTCTCCGTGGAAATAAACCTTCTCCGTGGAAATCGACCTTCTTCGTAGAAATAGACCTTCTCCGTGGAAATAGACCTTCTCCGTGGAAATAGACCTTCTCCGTAGAAAATAGACCTTCTCCGTAAAAATGGACCTTCTTCGTTGAAATCGACCTTCTCCGTAGGAATGGACCTTCTCCGTGGAAATAGACCTTCTCCGTGGAAATAGACCTTCTCCGTAGAAATAGACCTTCTCCGTAGAAATGGGCCTTCTTCGTTGAAATGGACCTTCTCCGTAGAAATGGACCTTCTCCGTAGAAATAGACCTTCTCCGTGGAAATAGACCTTCTCCGTAGAAATAGACCTTCTCCGTGGAAATAGACCTTCTCCGTAGAAATGGCAAATACCGGCTCTAGATGTCAAATATATCAAATTCTAACAATTCAAAATGGTGGCGGAAACCACAAAGTAAAACTTGTATAGCGAAAGTGAGGCCTTTAAATGGCGCGTTTTTGTAGCGAATGTGGCACGGAATTTCCTAATGAGGCATCAAAATACTGTCATAATTGCGGAAAGGAATTTTCAGGTAAATTTAATCATAGTATCATAACAGTGATCACTGATCGGTGGTCTGTGAAGGATTTGATCATACATTATTTCATTATGTGTATGATTCATCCCATGTGTGAGCTATTATATACTTTTGTGATATCGGGGACATATACCAAACATTTAGAAAAATACTTCAATTAATACATGTCTTGCTTTTAATTTGTAGAATTTCCACAATTTCATCTGGGATACAAGTATCATGACATCACCAATTTATTAAGAACATATCAAGGTATTACGATATGTGTCCGCACATTAAAAAGAAAACTACAAAAATTTGAATGAAATGGCAATTTTTTCAGGTTGCGAACAGGAGTAGAATTTTGGAAGATCTTTTTTACATTATACATCAATTATGTTGTATTTGCAACACAGCAGATATACCTTGGAAAGCATTGGAATCCTGCAAGAAATCGAGAAAGAATTTTTAAACATAAACTTCTGCCATTTTGCAATTGCTTCCTTCTTCACTAAATTCAGCTGTCATCCCATCTAACAGCTGATCGGCAGAAGGCAAAAAAAAGAACACTCCGCAACAAATAGTGCCTTCAATTTCATTAAAGGGAAACATGCAGAAACAAGTTGGACATGATGTTTCTGCAGATGACGGAGGAGATTTTTTGTCATCATCATCACTTATATCAATAAAGCTTTTTACTTTTGTTGCTTCCTTTTTCTCCTTATCTTGAGTGACCACCATTTCATTGCAAGTATCAGAAATTTTAGTAAAACTTTCCAGTTGTATAATCTCTGTTTTTTCATTATTTTGAGCATCATAGTCATAGTCATCAGACTCTGAATACGGAAAATCTTGGACTCTGTCCAAATCTATTGTAGTACACAGATAAAAATATTTTTTGAACAGGGTTTTCCTAATTC